TATATATATATATATATATATATCAAATTGCATTCATAAAAGAAACAATATAATATAAAGCTCAACTATTTATTATTTTGATAAAGTTACAATATATGCATTCTAAGAGATTTAACATGTTCAAGATACATGTCTCTTAGTATGGATTTTGTGAGAGAATTTGCTATCATTTGATGTGTGGATATATATTTGCTAATATGTTTTTTTGATAATGTCTCTAATGTAATTATACTTAGTCTCAATACATTTAGTTATACTATAATACTTAGGATCCTTGGTATAAGTGATAGATATTTGGTTATCACAATAGATCGTAATAGGCTCTAAGCTATCACTATTAACTTCCAAATCCTTAAGGAATCTGTTCAACTAAAATGTTTCTTGTAATACAATTGAACATGTTATAAATTCAGCATCCATAATAGACAATACTATATAGGTATGTTTCTTACTACTCTAAGATATATCGTTATTATTGAGTAGTATAGCTAGGAGTGGATTTGTATTTATTAAAGTCTCATCTTCAATTAGTATCCGAATACTCGATCAAATGTAAATTTTTCCTTGATAACACAAACAATTATCCATAATGCCCTTGAGATATTTCATAATTTTTTTTCACACCCTTTCAATAGTTTTGATCGAGATTCAACTCGGATCGGCTAACCAAACTAACAATAAAATATATATCTAGGCAAGTACATAATATTACATGCATAAGGTTTTTATCTACACTTGAATATGATACTTTAGACATCTTTTCTTTTTGTTATGGAGTTTTAAGAAACATTTCATGACTTAAAGCCTCATTTTTTTGACACAAGGGTGCCCATAAACTTATTGAGGAAAATCTAATAATAGAAGAAAAGGTTTTCTCTTAGACTATACCCTATTGTTGGGTAAAATCTTTAGCCACCTTAGGTGAGCTTTATATTAAGCAACTAATTTGTTTGTCTTTCATTTTATTTTGAAAACTCATTTATTCTTAATTACTTTATGACCTAACAAAAGATCAACCAAACTACATACCCGGTTTAATTTCATGAATTCCATTTCTTTTTCTAATGTAACTTTTCATTTTTCACTATTCTAGGTTCTTCATCATCTTGTGGGGTTATAATGCGGACTTCATTCTTAATTTCAAAACATTTTTGAGAATTTTTCAATCGTCGCTCCTAAGTAAATGAGAATCGTCACTAACACTAATAAAAATTAGATCGTCCTTATTCCTTTTAGTCAATTGAGATATTGGTATCGTGATATCAAAGCTTTCACTAGGAACAAGAGCGTACGGCACAATTGGTAGCGTATAAACTTTTGATTGACTTATAAGTATTTCATCCTCTTCTTCTATTTTAAAAAAATAAATATCATTTTTATCTATCTATTTTTTTTTAGAAAAGAGGTATTCTAGAAAAATGATAGCTCGAGATTCAATTTAAATGGCTCTTCCATCGAGTCTTCATTATTGAAAACGTATCTCTTTGTATGTTTGGAATATCTTAAGAAGATACGTTTTTTTCCTTCGAGCCCTAATTTTTCGTACTTATGAAAAATTTATAAACACATACGAGTAGACCTTCGAGGGCACAAATGATGAAAATTAAGCTTACAACTTGTTCATAACTCATCGAGTATAAAGACTATTGATTTAAAAGGCACACAATTAAGTATATATACCCCAATCATTCGTGTATCTTTCCGGGATTGAGTCAAATGATTTATTTTTGCCATCGTATATCTACCCATGTCTAATAACATAAGGTTCATATGCTCTACTATACTATTTTATTGTGGTCTTTTAGAAATCATAAGTTATCTAGTTATTCCTTTATTGTTATAAAGATCCTTAAATTAATATAATAGACTTTCACTTCCTTTATTGATCCTTAAAGTTTTAATTATTTTATCCAATGGATTCTCAATCAATTACGTATTTAATTAAGCAATATATTGCTTTTGTTGTAGAAGATAAAAAAAAAACATGACCAAATCAAGTAAATTCATCTATAAAGTAATAAAATAAGATGTCTTGTGTCTAGCTCTTACATTCATAAGACCATAAATAAATGAATGTATTAGTTGCAAAAGAAATTTTGCCCTTTGGGCTTTCCTAAATAGTTTTCTTATTGTTTTTTGTTATAAACAATGTTCACAAGTAAACAATTTGATTCTCGAGATTGATTTTAGAAGACCATCTCGAGCTAATCTCTTTATTTTATCTTGCTCGGTATACCGTAATCTACATATAATAGATTAATTTCTACATTGTTATTGATAGAAATATTTAGCATAGAAAAAATACATTACTATTCATATTAGAATATTTATTGTTCAACACCATAAAACTATTCATGATACAATTAGATTCAAAATTAAAAAAAGCATTAAACATGTTAAAAGTACTACTATAAAAATGCAAATTATATCTAGTTTTAATAGAATAACCGCATAAACTAAATTTCATTGAATCTCTATAGCGTAAAGGACATTGTGTAGATACAAGGTTCTTTCTTCTTGAAAATTTAATTTTCATGTGCCAAGTCCAAACACTTCAACTCCCACATTGTTAGCCATATATATCCATCGCGTCCTACTTGGAATCCAATAAAATTCCACAATTACATATCTTTCTCTAGCTACATAGTCGATAGATCTTGAGTCCGCAATTCATAAAGGATGAGATTCGGTGAGCATTACAATATTAGAAATATAAGCATTAATAGAATAGGTGTTTAAAGATAATACATTCTTCGACCTAATGCACTCACATGTGAAGTGATCCGACTTGTCACGGTTGTAGCATGTCAACTTGGTCTTGTCTTTTTTTTTTTCACTATGCTTAAAGCTTATTTCTCTTCTTTGTCTATGTTCGGTCTCTTTCTCTTTCTTATTATTGTGACATTTACGTTTAACGCCTAAAGCTTTCTTGAAGCTAGATTTGACCGTATATGCTCGTACATTTGGCCTAACTCGCCTCGAGTTGCTCATCTTTCGGCTTAATATGGCGAGCAACACCACTAAATGTCTTGGTACTCTCATTATGGGTCATGTTCACTTTCATATGCTCCTAACTATTAGAAAGAGATCGGTAACAAACTTGTTGTTCATCTATCAAGATATACCTAGGTTGGTTCGGTTTTACAATCATATTTAACATGTCCCTTAAGTGCTATTTTATGGATTTATTTGGGATCTCTTTATAAGTGTCGAACTTGATTGTCAAGCTGTCTCGGTTTAGAGATAATGGTCCCTCCAAACTCATCACTCGGTGCTACCAAGATGGCATAATCGGTTGGACATTCTAGTACTTGAAAACCAAATCATCATTCATATAACCGATCAATATTCCCATTGTAGTGAAATCTATCTTTTTTGAAGCATGATAAACAACAATATCTCGATGATACATGCCAATGTTGTTTCCATCATCATGGTCAATTGCCTTTAAAGTCTCTTGCTTTTCTAGGACATGACGTATCTTAGCACACCATATGTCATAGTTGTCTTCATTAAGTTTTTTGCACATATTCAAATCAACAATGAGTTTTTTTTTTTGCCATTTTGACAATCAATTATTGAAAAAAAAAACCGAATCATATGCAATGTGTGTGTGTATATTCTAGTTGCTAATTTTTAAATTAATTATTAAAATCCAACATAAGATACGAATCGATAGTTCATCGCATTCTCCGAGCATCATCTATATTCAAATATTTGATTTTAAAAATTTAATTAAAAAATTATGCTTTTTAATTTCATCTCACAATGCCCTTTAAATATTAATGAAGCAATCAAAATGTAAGTATAAGCAAAATATAATACTTCATAAAATAACATATTTTCATACATATAAATTCTAAAATCATATAAAAAAATTTCATTTATGTACCCTTGCCACACTAAGCATTGCACGGAATATTTTTGGGAATTTTCTTGAAATTTATTTCGTTATTAATGAATTTCGTACTCCTTTTATAATAGTAACTCGAAATAAATTCCTTACACTATAACAAATTCAATTTTGGACCATAATTATGTTCACAAATATATAGATGATTTTGTTTCAAAAATTTTTAGAATTTCATTCACTCCATTTTAATTACTATGAAATTTTGATTATTTTTCATAGGAAAATTTATAATAAATATTTCTAGATTCTACGAATAATTTTAACTTACCGATAGTTTTAAACTAAAATGACATGTTAGCCGAGTGATCTTAAACACTAGTTTAAGCCTCTGAACCTAGTAGACCATGAGTTCAATTTACATAGTTGCCATTATTAATCTTAAAATTCATAACATTGCAATCAAATAAATATTTATAGGTATTTGGGTATAGGTGATATTAAATCATCCCTTTTTCTAACAATATATATATATACACGGCGCATGCTTTGCAATGTTCCATAGGTATGGGATGGTTTTTTATGTGTTTACTAATTTATAAGGGAAGATGAATTTTGATTTGAAACTTATAGGTCATTAATGAAGTGTTAAACTTCTTTCATCAGATAGTAGATCACTTTTTTTTTCTTTAAAAAATTTTTAGAATATCTCAAGTTTAAAAATTTAGACTAATTTATTATTATTATTTTAGATGTATAAAACAAACATAATTATTCAAAAAATTTTCTAGATATATGAAGATTCAAAATTAAAATTACTTATTTAAGCTACCAGAGTATGTTTGTTGAAATCACTTTTTTAATCCTATTAATCAACGAACAATTTTAATATATCCTAAAACCCTGCATGGATAATTGCAGAAGCCTCTTTATTTAATTATATCTGTAATTTAAAATCTGAATTACTGTTTATTCTTACTTACTTTAACCCAAGACAATTATTTACATTCACTTTTTGGAAACCCTTCTTAATCCATTAACATCTGGCAATCCATTTCTCCAAGTCATGCTCCCTCACAGCCTTTACTTCACTCATAAATAGAAAACATCGAAAAGAACACAGCCAGAACCTCTCTCACTCTCTCATCCAATGGCTACCACCTGCACATGCACTTTTGTTCTCTGCCTTAGCCTCACATTCTTCATGTTTAGTTCAGCTTCTTCAACTGAAGCAGACATCCTTCTTTCTTTCAAAAACTCGATTCAAGACCCCAAGAACACTCTTTCAAGCTGGTCTAACAACTCAAATGTCCATTACTGTAACTGGACTGGAATCACCTGCAACACTTCACCTGCACTCACAGTAACTTCTCTCAACCTTCAAAGCTTGAATCTTTCTGGTGAACTCTCCACTTCCATCTGTGAATTAACCAATTTGGCTCTCCTCAATCTAGCTGACAATTTTTTTAACCAGCCTATACCTTTACATCTCTCTCAGTGTAGTTCTTTGGAGAGTTTGAATCTTAGTAACAATCTCATTTGGGGTCCTATCCCAGATCAGATTTCTAAATTTCAGTCTTTGAGAGTTCTTGATTTTAGCAAGAACCATATTGAGGGAAGGATTCCAGAAAGCATTGGCTCGTTGGTGAAGTTGCAAGTACTCAACTTGGGAAGCAACTTGCTTTCAGGTAGTGTTCCTTCTGTATTTGTGAATTTCACTGAGCTTGTTGTTCTTGATTTGTCTCAAAATTTGTACTTGATGAGTGATGTTCCTAGTGAGATTGGGAAACTTGGGAAGCTTGAGCAACTTCTGTTGCAAAGTTCTGGTTTTTATGGTCAAATTCCTGATTCTTTTGTGGGTTTGCAAAGTTTAACCATTTTGGACCTCTCACAGAACAATCTAACTGGTGTGATTCCTCAAACACTAGGGTCTTCCCTTAAGAACTTAGTGTCTTTTGATGCTTCTCAAAACAAGCTTTTAGGTTCATTTCCAAATGACATATGCAGTGCACCAGGCCTTAAAAACCTTGGTCTCCATGCTAATTTCTTCAATGGTTCGATACCAAACTCCATTAGTGAGTGCTCTAATCTTGAGAGGTTTCAAGTTCAAAACAATGAGTTTTCTGGTGATTTCCCTGCTGGGTTGTGGTCACTTAACAAAATAAAGCTCATTAGAGCTGAAAACAACAGATTTTCTGGTGTAATACCAGATTCAATGTCAATGGCAGCTCAATTGGAGCAAGTTCAGATAGATAATAACAGCTTCACTGGAAAAATTCCCCATGGTCTTGGTTTGGTTAAGAGCTTGTATAGATTCTCTGCATCTCTTAATGGTCTCTATGGTGAATTACCTCCAAATTTTTGTGATTCTCCTGTTATGAGTATCGTAAACCTATCCCACAATTCTCTTTCTGGTCAAATTCCAGAGATGAAAAAGTGCAGGAAACTGGTCTCGTTGTCTTTGGCTGCCAATAGTCTTACTGGGGAGATCCCTCCATCTCTTGCCGATTTACCAGTGCTGACTTACCTTGATCTTTCTGATAACAATCTCACTGGTTCAATTCCACAAGGGCTTCAAAATTTGAAGCTTGCTCTTTTCAATGTATCTTTTAACCAACTATCTGGAGAAGTCCCTCCTGCTCTAGTCTCTGGGCTCCCTGCTTCATTCTTGGAAGGAAATCCTGGTCTTTGTGGTCCAGGATTGCCCAATTCTTGTTCTGATGGTCTGCCGAGACATCATAATCCTGTTGGTCTTAGTTCATTAGCATGTGCCCTTATATCTATAGCATTTGGTTTGGGAATTTTGCTTGTTGCTGCTGCGTTTTTCGTGTTCCATCGATCCACTAAATGGAAATCTGAAATGGGTGGTTGGCATTCGGTGTTTTTCTATCCTCTCAGAGTCACAGAGCAGGATTTAGTCGTGGGAATGGATGAGAAAAGTGCTGTAGGAAGTGGTGGAGCTTTTGGTAGAGTGTACATTATAAGTTTACCAAGCGGTGAACTGGTTGCTGTAAAGAAGCTAGTCAATATCGGGAACCAATCTTCAAAAGCATTAAAGGCTGAGGTCAAGACATTAGCCAAGATCAGACATAAGAACATCATTAAAGTTCTTGGATTTTGCCATTCAGAGGAATCGATCTTTCTAATTTATGAGCACTTACAAACGGGGAGCTTAGGAGATTTAATTAGCCGAGCAGACTTTCAGTTGCAATGGAGTGATAGGTTGAAGATTGCCATCGGGGTTGCTCAAGGATTGGCATACCTTCACAAACATTATGTTCCACATCTACTTCATCGAAATATTAAGTCGGCGAATATCCTTCTGGATGCAGATTTTGAACCAAAGCTCACAGATTTTGCTCTTGACCTCATTGTGGGAGAAGCTGCATTTCAAACAACTGTTGCATCAGAATCTGCATACTCTTGCTACAATGCTCCTGGTATACTTCTGTCTTTCAATAGCATTTTTTTTTACAGAATCAGATTGTTCTTTCACATGCTTATAACTTGGCATCACAGTATCATATTGTATATCCTTCGAACTGTTCTCTCATTATTCGCTGATTGCAGAATGTGGATACTCAAAGAAAGCAACCGAGCAAATGGATATTTACAGCTTTGGTGTGGTGCTTCTAGAGCTGATAGCTGGCCGACAAGCTGATCAAGCAGAATCAGCTGACTCTGTTGATATTGTGAAGTGGGTTCGAAGGAAAATCAACATCGCCAATGGAGCAGTCCAAGTTCTTGATTCCAAGATATCAAAGTCTTCCCAACAAGAGATGCTAGCAGCTCTAGACATTGCCATTCGTTGCACTTCAGTGCTGCCAGAGAAACGACCATCAATGCTTGAAGTTATTAGAGCACTTCCGTCTCTAGGCGCAAAAACTAACATTTCAGATTCATACTTCCCTACTTCTGAGGAGAACCTTCCAGTATAAATATTTGAAACAAAAGATTAGCCCCTTTTTTTTATTTTTCTTTGCTTCTGGTCGTTGTATGTAAATGAAACTTGATTTCATATAATCTCATTTTGACTTTCCGCAGATAAAAAAAATGGTGTCTATTCTCTGCCCTACCAGACTTTGGGTTTGGGTTTTGGGCCATTTGGTCAGTAGAGTGATACAAGAAGCTCAATATCAAAATGTTTAGGCCACCATCTTCAGCATAGATTATCAAGATCCAATGACCTTTCAGAAAATGGATGCTAATGATAAATAAAGTAATCTTAACAAGCACATGACTATGTTGGGGACTGGACACCACTTCTAATGTAAAAGCCTAGACTAATGGATAATGGATTCATTTTATATAAAGTAATTCTTTTTAATTCTTTTTTAATACGAGATAGTTACTATTTATATGTACACCTAACAAATTTCCTTTTACATGTGAATCCGCCCCATTCGAATGGAATTTAACGATTCAAGTGCAATATTTTATAATGGCCATTCGTCTCGAGCCGAATCTTTGGTTTTGCTATCAATCGTTGCGAATCTACCTATGTTGGGAGAGATATATGATCCTATGTATATAAAGATTTACATGTAAAGAAGAATATCATTTCCAATCCAAAAGTAGGAATGGCAATGGGGCATGGTGAGAGCGGAGATGACCATTTCCGTCCCTGTTTTTAAAAATTATCTCATTCTCATCCTATATTTTGTTTGGAGTAAAATTTATCATATCATTCCTGTCTCAAATGAGAATGAGATCCCCGCGAGACACTAGTGTCTCATTTAATTTTTCTTTCTTGTCTTGTCTTGTTCCATTCTATTATTAAATTTCAAATTATAGTAAAAAAATGATAGTTTATGTAGAAATAAACCCTAAGAGTTAATAATCACAGATTTTATATAAAATATACTTATAATTTTAGGGATGAAACGGGACAAACGAGGCGAGACGGGACGGGACGGGCAAATACTATCCCCGCTTCATCCCCATTCAAAATAAATACGAACGCTCATCCTTGCCTCGTTCCCCGATCAATGAGGGGAGTGAGGTGGGGCAAGGCTCCATTGGGACGAGACAAATTATCATCTTTATCTAAAAGCCTAAAATAATATGTTATAGATCTATCGTATATACACACACATTTTTAATGTAATATAATTACAATTCACATATGTACGTAACTTACTAATAGCATACCCATAATGGTAAAAATATCATCTTTTTCCATGATGAAATCTAATTTGCACTGGAGAAGTTTTGGGACTCCTAAAGTGAACTTTTGACCTCTCTTAAATATTTATATTTGTGTTTAGATATTAAGAAGTTGACGGCGGAATCAGGAGTGGAATTTGCCCAAACATGAATAGCTCAGGTCGGTTTGGCAAGCCCAATAGAACTTGACCACTCTAATAGCATTTGTATTAAGACATGGTTATTTTCATTATGCATTCAATTTCTGTTACATTATCATGATAAGTTTTTTTTTCCTTTTCTATATGATGATGTAGTTGGGTATTTCTACTAGTTCTGTATCTTTTGATTTATTGGGCTGTTACATCTTAGCTAGGGCCTTGGTCTATTGTTTAATGAAAACAAAAGCCCACTATTTAAAGAAATGGTTCCACGAATGGTTTTTCCTAGCAAGAAATTACGAACTGGTTTGAATTGGGCCCATATCTAAGTTTTATTTTTCACATTTGTCACTTTTGCCTATAGACATATATTTTTCACATTAGCCTTTATAAATAAAAACATCATATCAATTAATGTTTCGTTTCCTTAATAGTCCTCTTCCCGAAAAAGTGAGGACAGGACGGGTTTAAGCCTTTTTACCTTATAAGCACAACGGAAAATAAATACACACCATTTGCCATTATATATCTTAATTAGAATTGTAAAGTTAATACCACCATCATTATTTACTTAAAAGGGAAAAAACAATCATGAAATTGTAACCGTTTAGGAGGTCTGCGTGAAAGTCTTTTTCACTTTTGGCAAAGGTTTCCCTTTTACCACCTCCAATTGCAAAAGCCAGATATTCTTCGTACAAGGGTATGGATTTCTCTATGGTAAATTACACATCTGTATGTAGTCTATTGTACGCATGAGATAAGATAAGAAGTTATCTTACTCATTGATTAATATATGGAAAATTATTAAAGTCTAGTTAATCTTCAAAATTCATGTTCCAAATTATCGGTGATAATATTTATATTATTCTCTCTAATACTTGGATTTGAAACTTACACTACCTCGTACTTAATTAATTAGAAGAGAAATAATCATGATGAAATTTAAACTCATGATCACTAAGTCATTAAGACTCCGATACCATATTAAAAAATTATCTCAATATAGAAAAATAAACGATAGATGAGACCTCATGATATAATTTATATTATTCTCTTTAACACTAGATCAACAATGTCTTAATAACATTCGACTAAATAACACGAGTTGTAACCCAATAATTTATTCTAAAGTTAGCAAATCCAACTAAAAACAAATTAATTTGTGTTAAACGAGTAATATAAAACCATTACTACAATCTCTTCTAATAATTTTAATTCTTGAATTGAGATGATTCTTTGATATAATATTAGAGTTTTGATGATCAAACGATCATAAATCTAAATCGCACCACTCTACCTTATCTTCTAAATAAATAATTAAACACAAAATAGTAGCTTTTCTAATTAAATAAATAATTAAATATAAGATAGTAATAGATTTGTACAAGTTTCAAGTTCAAAAAACTTTTTTGTAAAAAAATGTATTAAAGAATACTCGTAAAATTATTTTTAAAACCTCACCCAACAAGTTAAACTTTTGGACTAACGGTGAATTACTTACCAAGTGTAAGGTTTAATTTTATTAGAAAAGTTGAGATTTATGTGGCTCCCTTTTGGTCCAAATGGTCAATCAGGCTAGAAATTAATACAAATAGCTAAATATAAAATCTAATCCCAGTCATTGTTTCACTATAAAGGAATGCTGATTGAACAACCAAAATTTCATTTATACAGTGATGAATAATGTTTGCTAGACAAACCTGTTAGGTGAATACAGCAAAATCTATCAAAATGCTAGGAAGAGATAGTGGCAGATAGATATACAGTGTTATTAGGTTCCACTTTCATTTTAAATCTATGAAACATCAGAGATTCTGTCTACCGGTATAGGTACTAATAAATCAATATACAGTTTTTATTTGGTTTTGCTATTACAGATTTCAGGTTTTTTTTTTTGGTTAATCATTACCATTTCTTTGTAAAATCTTTTTTATGTTTTGTTTGATTGCCTTTCGTCAATCTGCTTTTCAGGTTTTAATTAATGTGGCTTGTGTTGCAGTGGGACTTGTAAAAGCTGGTTCTTTTTATCTAGCTCACTCAATTTACATTTCATTTCAGAAAGAACCGACAGGCATACCCAATTCATTATATTTACATAGATCATTTTACGCGCACACATATATATGATTTGAGTTTTCATTACTCTCCGTGGAAAATCAGTGATTATTATGATTTTGTTTCTTGTATCTGTAATATTTCCTGGTATATAGAAATCATAGGGTTGATCCAAACAACCATTTTCTGTCTTTTAATTTGTAAAGCTATATATATATAAAAGATGTGAACTTTCAATAAAAAAAGATGAAAAGGTGAATAAATCTTTTGCGTAAAACTAATCTAACAAAAATAATGCTGATAAATGATTTTTTTTTTTAATCTGCAAAATCATCAGTATACTAATATTGATTGAAGAAATCAAAATCAACTCAAATTTGATTTCTTCCTAATGTGTTCTATAAAAAAAAAAAAAAAAAAAACTTTTATTATTAAAACACTCTTAAACTTTGGTGCATTTGATGAAAATAAAGAATCGATAAAGTTGATATTTCATTTTAATTTGGAGTTGTTATTTAGATTTTGCTCTCCGTAAAATCAAAAGTTGGTTAAAGTAATTGGTTATCATACAATCTAATATAAATTTCTTGCTTTGAAAAAAATTAAAACTTAGTTAAAGTTGTTATCTTAAATAAGTTTCCTGCCATTAATAAATTTTGACTTTATTTATATTTTTATTTGCTATATTTTTTATAGGAGAATCTTTTCTATAAATTTTATTATCTTATTTAAAATTCACATCACACAAAATAACAATAACAACGACGATGATAATAAATTACAATATATTACCATATAAAATTTACATATCTTATTTTGATTTGGAGTTGTTTTTCAAAGTTTGCGCTCTTGAGTAAAATAAAAAATTGGTTAAAACAATTAGTTAACATGCCGTCTAATTTAAATTTCGCGCTTTGAAAAAAAATCAAAATTTAGTTAAAGTTGTTATCTTATATATATATTTCATGAGTTTAATTGATAAAAGTTATTATGTTATTAAAATTTCGCTTAAGGAAATAAATTACAATACAGTACCATATATAAGTTACATATTTTGTGCCTTCAAAATGATTATCATAAATTACTATATGAACATGCAGTTAGTTATGTATAGATGGAAATTTAGTTGAAGTTCTCATCTTATTTTAAGTTTTAAAACTTTTAAAAAAATCGATAATCGGCAAGTCGTTATTTGTTAAAAAAATTACACTTCTTGTACCTTCACAATGATGGATCATTGTAAATTACAATCGAAACACACGCTAGGAAGAAATCAAAACTTATTCAGTTATTATTATTATTTTTTCTAATTTCATATCAGCAAAGGAAATAAATTATAATATGTTTCTCAATAAAAATTTGAATATTTTATGCCTTCATAGTGATCATCATAAATTTTCATATGAACATGTTAGGTATATATAGATCAAAGTTTAGTTAAAGTCGTTAGTTTGTTTACTCCCTTCGTTCCAAAGAATTTGTCTTAATTTTTATTTTTATTTGTCTAAAAATGATTGTCTTAGTCAACATATTAAGTATGTATTTTTTTTTAATACTCTTAATTTAAGTTTATATTGTAAGCGGGCTGCAACTAAAATGATGATATTTTAAAAAAAACTATGAATAAACTTGACAACTTTTTTAGAACAGAAAGAGCTAAAATTTAGCGCTTTTAAAAGAATCACTAATTGTAAGCTGTTATAATTGTCTAAACTTACATATTGGATATATTCATAATGATATCAATTATCGTGAATTACTAACTTAAAACACTAGTTAGAAATCAAAATTTAGTAAATTAAAGTCTTTATTTTATTTAAATTTCACAAGTTCTGTAAGAATAAATAATTGCTAATTTTTTTTTATCTTGATTAACTTTCACATCATCAAAAGAAAAATAAATTATAATATATATGTTACTGTCTAAATTTTATACTTTTTGTGCCTTCAAGTACGATGATTTTCATAAATAACTATCTTAATGCATCTATAACACTAGAAATAAATATATATAATCGGCACTAAAATCTGAACTATGGATATCTTATATCATGGACAATAATACAACAAGAAATACATGCAATTGTTTTTATTAATTCATTAGCTGAACAGAAATACTTAATAGTTCAGCGTGATGGCATGCACAAAACATTTTGTTTTATTTTATTTAATTTTCTTTTTCAATCCTTTCTCTTCATTTACATATAGCCAGTAATCCTTAATCAAAATTATAGAAAACCATTAATTATTTAGAAATACAGGCATGGCTCTCTCTCTCTCTCTCTCTTTTTCTTTCCGTTAATTGTATCTTACATTTTCTCTCTCAGTGTGGATCGACGAGAGATCAATGGAGTGCTTCAAGGAGGACACTGGCTATGCTTTCCTTCATGAAGAAGATTTTTCTGATCACCTTGCTAGCTCTCCCCCTATAGATTTTGATTTTGGGTTCTTGAATAATGATACTGCTGTTGATGACTCAAACCAGACCAATATTGGACCATCACTTTCAATGCCACAAAAAGACCAACCGGCTCTTGATGCTTTTAGCGATTTTTGTGAACTGAACCAAATCCCAACATCACCACCTATGCTCGACATGAGTGATTCTTTTGAGGATGACCCTTCTCCTGATGATTTTCTAGATATTGGCAATTTATTATCTGAATCAGATATAGAAGAAATTGGTAAGGGTTTGTTTGATAAAACAAAAATCGGAGCTAATGAATTAAAAATAGAAACTGGCGGCGATGAATCGAGCCAAGTGTCCAAGAAGAGAATACATCAGATTGATGATACCAGGTTTGGTGCTGATGACTTCTCTAATTTATTATGCATTTAACTCAGGGAAATTACGTTGGTTCTTTAACTAATAAGAAGTTGAATCCTTGTAGAAGCATTGATGATCGCAGGAAAATGAATGAAGAAGAGCGTAGACTACGACGTGAAAGATCTGAGAGAGCACTTTCTCGTCAGGCAGGCTCAGCGTACGTAGGAGTCATTAGGTTTATCTAATAGTCTTCTAGAAACTGGCTGTTTTATCAAAACCTGTAATACATAGCTTTTTTAATTTTTAGTATGTTAATGTTAAGGCTTAATCCATAAAATTCATCAAATTATTGATAAACACATGATATATAGCTAGCATGAATGGATGATGTTAAGAAGCGAGAGGAGCAAGGCGAGAGGAAGTAACAAACGAGTGGAGAGAAAATATCTTGCTATTGTGTTATATTCTCTTTATCCACGTAAGACAAGTATATATATACAAGGAAAATATAAGTCGGTTATGTAACCGACATTTCACAACAACTAACCGAGAAATAATTGACTAACTAATTCTTAATTAGCTAACTAATTATATTCTCAATACTCTCCCTCAAGTGGGTGGTTTATAAATGTCATAGACACCCAACTTGGAGAGAAGATAATGATGGTGCTTGCTTCCAAGGCCTTTGGTAAAGAGATATGCTACTTGTTCAGCGGTAGCAATATGAGCGAGCTTAATTAATCTAGTCTTGAGCTTCTCCGAACTAAGTGACAATCGATTTCGATATGCTTAGTTCGTTTATGGAAGATTGGATTAGAGGAAATATGTAAGGCAACCTTGTTGTCACAATGAAGTGTAGCGGCTCCCAAATCGAAACACCAAGCTACTGCAGCAAGCCAACAATCCACACAAGTTCACATGTAGACTGCTTGCCATAGCCCGATACTCGGCTTCGGCGGAAGATCGAGAAATGGTATGTTGTTTCTTGATTTTCCGGGAGAACAAAGATGAGCCAAGAAAAACACGAAACCGGTAATAGACCTTTTTGTCATCGGGATAAGAAGCCCAATCGGAATCACAATAAACCCTCGATTATGAATAATTGGAGGCTGGAAACAGAATACCAAGACCAAGAGCTCCCTTCGGATACTTGAGAACTCTTAAGGCGGAATACATGTGGGAAGCCTTAGGTTTATGCATGAATTGACTCAAAAGTTGGACTACATAGCATATATTTGGTCGGATGACGAGTAAGATATATAAGCTTCCCCACCAGGTGTTAGTATTCGTTGGATAAGATAAAAGAGGATCCGTACAAGCATGAACCACATGTTCATCATATTTTGCAGAGGTGAGCTTCGGTGTTGTTCCGGGGGCATGGCTATGGGTTTGGCACCAAGCAAACTCGCATCATGTAAGAGCTCCAAGGTATATTTCCTTTTATTAAGGCAAATACCTTTCGATGACCGAGCAACTTTTATGCCCAAAAAATACTTCGGAATCTCAAGATCTTTAATGTAAAAAGTCCGATGCAAGAAGCTGCTCGATGCCTTAATGCCATCTACATCATCTCCGAGTTATTAAAATGTCATCAATATATACTAGCAACATAACTATCTTCTCATTTATCCTTTTGCTAAACATGGAATGGTCATGTTGGGACTCGAATATAACCAGCAAGCAATATTTTCTCGGTGAATTTATAATTCAATTGATGAGAGGCTTGCTTCAAGCCATAAAGATACTTAAGCAACTTACTCACCAAGCCCTCCCCCTTATTGCCAAAACCTTGAGGAACAGTCATATAAACTTCTTCCATAAGATCTCCTTGTAAAAAAGCATTAGTGACATCCAATTGATGCAATGGCCAATTATGCATAGCCGCTAAGACAACTATGGTTACGACGGTAACCATTTTTACTACAGGAGAAAAGGTTTCACTATAATCTACCCTTTCTAATTGAGTGTAACCTTTGGCCACCAACCTGGCTTTATACCTTTCCGGACTCCCATCGGGATTAAATTTTACCTTAAAAACCCATTTATAATCTATAGGATGCTTACCCACTTGGTAGAGGAACTAGTGTCCATGTCTTGTTAAACTCGAGTGCTTGTATTTCCTTTTGCATGGCATCTATCCACTTAGGATTTTTAATGGCATCCGAGTATGAACTAGGTTCTCGGACGGAAGAAATAGAAGAAACAAAGGTCGAGTGAAAAGAAGAAAAAAATTATAGGATATGAGCTACTAAATAGGATATTTAGGACAAGTAACGAACCGAAATTAGAGGAATGGATTGTGGGACAAGAAAAGTCTTTACACCAAGAAAGAGTTTTAACTATTATGGTAGACTTTCGAATAGGTAACAAGGCGAGTAGGAGGAGAGGATTGTGTAGAAGAGGTGATTGTGGGAGATGAATGCGGAAGTATGTAGTAGGAGATGGAACTGAAGGAACACGAGGAGGATCGAGTGTGTTGAGAACATAGTGGGATCATCATCATGAACCCATTGATATATAGGATTAGTGTGTGGAGGTTGAGAAACAGAAGATTTTGAAAAGGGATGAAATGGAAAGATATTCTTATGAAACAAAACATCACGAGAAACAAAGGTCTTATGAGTGGCCAAGTCTAAGACTTTGTAACCTTTTTGTGCATAAGGGTAACCTAAGAAGACACAACATGTGGATATGTGAGCAAATTTTTCTTGGCAAGGTAAGACCTTAGCATAACAAAGGCAACCAAAAATTCTAAAGTAGGAGTAAACGGGGATTTATGAAATAAGATTTCAAAAGGAGTCTTGCCATTCAAGAGAGGTGTATGTGTTCTATTGATGATATAAGTAGAGGTTAGGATACAATCACCCCGGAATTGAATTCGTATATGAGATTGAAACATGAGAGCTCTAGCAATATCAAGAATATGTCTATGTTTGTATGCTACAATCCCATTTTGTTAAGGGGTATAGGTAACGGTGGTTTCATGAAGAACCCTATTGGAAGATCGAAAATCTTGACAAGCATGTTATAGAAATTCGAGCCTCTATATGTTCTAATCTTACGAATAGAGGTAGCAAATTGAGTTTGTATGAGGACAAAGAAGTTCGGAGTAGTTTAAGGACTCGAGATTTATGTTGTAGAAGGAAAATCCATGTTCGTCGAGAAAAATCATCAACAATAGTCAAGAAGAATCTCTCTGGCAGTAGGTTGAATGCCTATAAGGCCCCTATATGTCCACATGAACTAGTTCAAAAGGAGACTTTGTGACGAGTAGTGTTAGAGTGAAAAGGTACTCGGCATGTTTAGCTAAGGGACATATTTCACGGAAAAAATCATGAACGAGAGGAAACTAAAATTCCGGGGATCATTTTGAGACGAGATAAGGACACATGGCCAAACCTTTTGTGCCACGGAATTACATTGGAATGAGAACTTATTTTACATGTATGTTCACCCAAAAACTTAGTGTGATCCGAGTTTTGATTGCTAAGTATAGAATTTAAACTACAAGATGTTTTAGAGTGACTAGGAAAAGACCTCTTATCAAAGTAATTTGTAGATACGAGTGGTTGAGAAGGCGATTTGGAATGACATGGTAGAGATTATTGTAAAGTTTACCAATCCTCTTTGTCCTTCTAGTCCAAAGGTCATGAAATAGACGAAGGTTAGGGTAAAAGATTGCCAAACAATTATTATCGGTGGTGAATCTAGCTACGGACGGGAGATTAAACTTAAAGAGCGGCAAATATAAAACGTTTTGAAGGACAAAGTTTGGAAATATGACCGAGCCTATATGAGTTATAGTAGTCATAGTGCCGGTAGGTAATCCGACAATAAGATTAGATGCAAGCCTTTTAGGATTATACAAGCAATTCGGTTTTCCAGTCATCCGAACATTAGCCCCCGTATCAACTATCCACACATCATCATTCCCATAATCAACATTAAGCGGACTACGTAAATAGTTACTCGCCATGTTAGCAATAGGTACATCGAGTGTAGATGCCCTAATGTTTTTCTCGGACTCTCTGGACGAAGCTTCATTATTTGTTAATACCGATGAGGTGAAAACACCGGTGTTTCTACGGCTTTGCCCAAGTAAACTTACTCTAGATGCTGATTAGATTGAACTCCTCGCGAGTCAACCGTGTGATCACCATACATCATACCTCTATCATGTTCTAAATAACTCATATTGTGAGCATTATAGGTTCTCCGTCTACTAACGAGTGCACCCCTACGTCCTCTCGCTATGGCCATATGATCTTTTAGGATGGGGATATCCATGCAATTTATAACAAGTCTCCTTCGGGTGACCGGATAAATGACAATGATCAAATACCATATCTCTTCCGGTTTGTGACCGGTTAGTCTTATCACCAAATGACTTCACTTGATATGGACTTCTAGAAGAATAGAAGGCGGTAGGAGTGCTTGAATGACCATTGGAATTAGTATCGATGCCTCTCCGCGATTCTTCATTAGACACTATGGAATAAGCTCGTGAATGTGTTGGCATTGGCTGCATTAACAAGATTTGAGACCTTACTCGCTTGAAACTATCATTCAGCCTCTATCAAGAATTGCATCACCTTATGCTTGTTGTGTATATGTGATAAAAGGTTGAGAAATCTCTTTGTGACAATGTGGACGAGCCCACGCCGGTGGAGGAATCAATGAGTCTAATTGATCCCGGATCTGTCTTAACCTTGAGTAATACATTTCCACGATATCCGCACCTTGAAAACATGAATTAATATCTTTATGCAATGTGAAGATCTTGGCACCATGTTGTTTATCAAACCGTTCTTTAAGATCCTTCCATACATCCACGAGCATCTTGATAGTAGACTAAGTTCGTTAAACAATTGCACGGATATCGAGTTAAGTAGCCAAGCATGAACTAGGGCATTGCATTTTTTCCATTAAGCATAGTCGGGGAATTTGAATTCAATCTTGAACATCGACCATTGATAAAACCGTCCTTACTCTTAGCTTCCGGAGAAATCACCATTGCCTTACTCCATGAAATGTAATCGTCTTCACCTTGGAGCAAGTGATTAACTAGAACCAAATGAGGAGTATCCGAAGGATGCAAGAAAAGAGGATCATTGAAATCTCTCGGTAAATGGACAGGACGTGTAGCATTTTGGTCGTCGGCTTGATTTTCCATGATTTTCCATGCCTTACTCCATGAAAATGTGTCAATTTTCTTAGGAAAAAGAGAGCAAATCGATCTCTAAGATCGATACACAATGAGATCTATAATGGTGTTTATGATGTAAGTAATGAGTAGAAATCACACTCAATCACTTATTCAAAATGAAAAAAAGAGTATGCAAGAAGAAGCGAATCTCCGAAAAATTTTCTCGGAATCCAAACAACCTCGCTCCGATACCATGTTAAGAAGCGGATAAGCAAGGCGAGAGGAAGTAACAAACGAGTACAGAGAAAATATCTTGCTATTGTGTTATATTCTCTTTATCCACATAAGACAAGTATATATGTACAAGGAAAATATAGGTTAGTTATGTAATTGACATTTCATAACAACTAACCGAGAAATAACCGACTAACTAATTCTTAATTAACTAACTAATTATATTCTCAATAGATGATGATATTGATGATGGATAGTTTTGATGTGTGTACATATATAGGTATGGAGAGTTTTTCGAAACAGCTTGTTGAGGATGACACCGAACAAGGATCTAAGTCAATTACGAGTCACAAACTTATCTAAGTATTGCATGCATGAAAATTTCTAGTGATTTTGCCCTATAATTTAATGAAAAAATATCATTCTCTTACACTAACAAACTATTTTACTTGCTCTTGCATATTTCCTTTACTAACTTGTAGTTTTAATTTCTTGGTAAGTTTTATTGATTCTACCATTTTTTTAATTCAAAATATTTACGTACTTTGAGGTCTGCGAGGGATCAATGTACCTCGAATGCTCCATGTACAAAAGCAAGATGGTGAATCCGTAATATCCACCTCCTAACTAGAACAAATTTGATTTTAAAAAAATTCAACCAAAAGATGCTATTAATGATATATAAATATTATTCTTAAAGGCATTCCAAACAATTTCTATCAGTATTATACTAGATTTTTTGCCCGTGTTTGCGTTGCGAGTTGAATAAAATATATAAATTCATTTTAAAAAATTATTTTAGTTAGATAGTCCGTTTTATGGTGTGACTTTGGAAAAATATATGAAATCAAATGTGAAAAAAATATTTATAATTTTTTAATAAAAAATTTTGTATTTAACTATTTCTTATTTGGGTTTTTCATAATTTTTTCTTTACAAAAAGGATTTATGCTTATTAATCCATGGATCATAAACTACAAAAAAAAAAAAAAAAAACTTAAATAATTTTTTTAAAATTTTTTAATATTTCATAAGATTGTGTCGAAAAAAAAAACAATTACTAAAAGCTTACATAAAATTGAAAAAATATGTTTTTTTTTTTCATAAGATTGTGTCGAAAAAAGAAAAAAACAATTACTAAAAGCTTACATAAAATTGAACAAATTTTTTTTTATTTTTATTTCATGTTTTTGAGAATATCAATTTCTGAAAAAAATGTGAATTTAATTTTTATGTATTTATTTACAAAATAATGAATAATATTAAAATAAATAAAAACTATCAGTAAATATAGTTTTAAATTAATTGGATGAGAATTTAAAAGAAATGACAAATTAAAGTAGTAAATTTTAAATAATAAAAATAATTAACAAAAAACACTAAAACAAAATGGGACCAAATCATAATAAAATTAAATTTTGAAATTGAAAAAAAAAATGTATAGAAAAATTGAAGACCATATAATTTGAAATTAATTGGATGAGAATTTAGAAAACAAACGACAAATTAAAGAAAATTACATAAAAAAGTTTTATAAAGCTTGAGTATTTCAAAAGATTGTGTCGAAAAAAATTATTAACGACTCACATAGAATTGAAAAAATAATTTTTTATTTTTATTTAATGTTGATGAGAATATCGATTTTTGAAAAAATATGAATTTAATTTTTATATATTTATTTAAAAAAGAATGAATAAAATTAAAATAAATAAAAACTGTCATTAAATGTAATTTTAAATTAATTGGATGAGAATTTAAAAAAATGACAAATTAAAGTTGTAGATTTTAAATAATAAAAAAATCAACAAAAAACACTAATACAAAATGAGACCAAACCACAATACAATTAAAGTTTAAAATTAAAAAAAAATTGTATAGAAAATTTGATGACCATATAATTTTAAATTAATTGGGTGAGAATTTTTTAAAAAATTACAAATTAAAGTAGTAAATTTTAAATAATAAAAATAATTAAAAAAGAACTAAAACAAAATAGGACCAAAATACAACACAATTAAGTTTGAAATGAAAAAAAAAATTGAGGACCAAAGTGTTAAAAAAAAGCCATAAATAGTGAAAGGATTAGCGATTTGTGAGTGTGTGAATAGTGAAATGTAACCGGTGTTTTGTTTTATAATATTTAGTCCAATATTTGTGTCAAATTTAGTAGGAATTACTGCATGCTTTTACTAACATTAGATCTAAATGTGTTTAATTGTGCCAGAATCTAATAATGCCTTTAAACCCAATCAATGTTAGTAAAAATCTATTGTAATTACCACCAAAATAAATAAATAAAATTGTTATTAAATTAGACACATACCGCTAAACTTGTATGATGAAGGTAATTGTGCCATTTTAGAATGCACTTAATTATGGTGACATTTCATGAAAAATGCTTTACATTCTTATTAAAAATTCCAAGTGATACTAAATTTTCTTATTGCAATGATATTCTAAGCACGTGATTCTGTGCTATATCTTCTTGTAGCAGGGTGCCTTCATTCTGCATCTTCCTAATTTCTTACCTCTAGCTAGCACAGTTGGTATGCATGCAGGTCTGTTTGAGCAAGAAGAAGCTGCGGCTAGGGCCTATGATTTGGCTGCTTTGAAGTTAAGAGGGGCATCCACTCCTACAAATTTTCCGGTAGCATATGTTACATTGTCAAAGGACTTGTCGCATGCATATCTAGTCAGGATTGCTGATCATAAATAGCTGCTAACTTTTTTTATCTTTTATCATCTATATATATACCTTGTAGGTGACTGACTATGTCAAGGATTTTGAGGAAATGCGACATGTGAGAAATCATGAATATACGCAAGCAATTAGAAGGTGCATTTAAAAAAAAAAAAATCTAAAGCTTGTTATACTTGGCATTAATTTGGAAATATAATAATTACGAGTGTCACCAATTTTGTGATGCTAAAATATTAATAGGACATGTCAACTTTTATGTATCGATATACTTACACTTACGGATATGATAATTAATAAATCAACATATTAATATGTTATATCAATATAATATTATAAATAATATGTTAATTTATTGACATAACTAATAATTTGTTAGCTCAGTGGTAAGCGAATCGATTTCTAGATAATTTTTTTTTTTTTTTTATCAATGCACAATATTTGAATTTTAAAGTGGCACTTTTTGAAATAGATCAAGCCTTATATATAACTTCTGTCCTGAATAATATTAGTCTTATCTTCAATGTGAGATGAAAATACTTAAAAAAAAAATTTATTGACAAGCCCTGTCCCATTAAGTTTATTTTTTTGTTTTTTTTTTTGTTAAGAACTTCATGTCCGTTAGAGAGACTTTACTAAATAAGTTAATATAGATGATATTCACATATGTGGATTCCATATTTAACACAAGTTGATCTTGTCGATCAAATTGCAGAAGAAGTCCAGGGTTTCCAAAAGGAGCGTCTGCCTACAGTGGCATCTCAAAGTATGCATTCTTTCTTTCCCTGGACATATAACATGACCACTATATATCTATTAGTCATAATTCTTTTTTATTTTTTCTTGTAGAAAAAACTCCAATTCAAAATGTATTTCCTACAAGAGATGCAAAGCCAGATTATGGAAAGGGAAAGAATTAGAGGATGATATTGTTTACCTTGGAACATATGGTAATGCCTGAAATTTCCTTAGTTAATCACTTTGCCTTTGAAACCTCGCTCCCTCCCCCCCCCCCCCCCCCCCTCTCTCTCTCTCTCTCTCTATATATATATATATATATACACTCTCCAAATCTATTTATCTCTTATTTTTCTTTATTTTAAACAATTAGATACACAAGAAGAAGCTGCCAGAGCTTATGATATTGCCTCTGTAAGGATGAAAAACGACGAATCTGTTACTAAAAAGTTGATGAAAAAGTATATTGTGGAGAATTCTCTTGCAAAGTTTGATAAAGAACATGAGAGCTCAAGCAGCTCGAAGCCACGATTGACTCGATTGAAAAAGCTTGAAGAACTAACAAATAAAGATGTTCCTATTGATCAATAGAAGTTCAATGAAAACAGGTATGTCCAACCCCATATGCCAAGCTCTTCTTATCTCGAGGAAAATCAAATGTTCAAGTCTCAAATTAACTCTACTTCCTTTGATGGGCCATCTAATGTTGAAAATGCACTAGGAACAGACAACAGATATTTTGATGTGGATATCAGTACTGGAGCGCCATATGAGTTTCTCAATGAAGAACCACCCCTTGAGGGACTGTGGGAAATGTTCAATACTAGTAAGAATTCTTCATCACAATCTGGGATTCTGGAGGAAGAATCCTTTGAGGCGTTGTGGGAAACTTTCAATACTAGCAAGAAGTCTTCTTTGCAATCTAGGATTTAAGAGGCGAACGACTCACATCTCCATCATGTTAAAAATGTTACTAGTCAGGTATTTCATCAAAATCTTAATAATAAATCTCTTTCCCATAGCTATAAAAGCCCTACTTTCCTTCCTAATTAAGATGAGTGCTGAGCATAAAAGTGACTTACAGTCTCAGAATAATAGAGATAAAAATGTTGGCTACAATGAAGGATTGGAAAGTAATATGATATGGGAGGGGAATTCCACCAACATTGGGGAGCTTTTTACTGGAGTTGAAGAAACGGGCCGGATGTCAGGATATTGAAGCTCTACTTGGAAATCAAAAACCTCCCTCCCTCCCTCCCCCCTCTCTCTCTCTCTCTCTCTCTCTCTCTCTCTAAATATATATATATATATATATATACACTCCCTAAATCTATTTATCTCTTATTTTTCTTTATTTTAAACAATTAGATACACAAGAAAAAGCTGCCAGAGCTTATGATATTGCCTTTGTAAGGCTGAAAGGTGGCGAATCTGTTACTAAAAAGTTGATGGAGAAGTATATTGTGGACAATGCTCTTGAAAATTTTGATAAAGAACATGAGAGCTCAAGCAGCTCGAAGCCATAATTGACTCGATTGAAAAAGCTTGAAGGCCTAACAAATAAAGATGTTCCTATTGATCAGTAGAAATTCAATGAAAATAGGTATGTCTAACCCTATATGCCAAGCTCTTCTTATCTCGAGGAAAATCAAATGTTCAAGTCTCAAATTAACTTTACTTCCTTTGATGGGCCACCTAGTGTTGAAAATGCACTAGGAACAGACAATAGATATTTTGATACGGATATCAGTACTGGAGCGCCAGATGAGTTTCTCAATGAAGAACCACCCCTTAAGGGACTATAGGAAATGTTCAATACTAGCAAGAATTCTTCATCACAATTTAGGATTCTAGAGGAAGAATCCTTTGAGGCGTTGTAAGAAACTTTTAATACTAGTAAGAAGTCTTATTCGCAATCTGGGATTTAAGAGGCGAATGACTCACATCTCTATCATGTTAAAAATGTTACCAGCCAGGTATTTAATCAAAATCTTAATAATAAATCTCTTTCCCATAGCTACAAAAGCCCTACTTTTCTTCCTAATTAAGATGAGTGTTGAGCATAAAAGTGACTTGCAGTCTCAGAATAATAGAGATGCAAATGTTGGCTACAATGAAGAATTAGAAAGTAAGATGATATGGGAGGGGAATTCCACCAACATTGAGGAGCTTTTTACCGGAGTTGAAGAAACGGGTTGGATGTCAGGATATTGAAGCTTTACTTGGAAATCAAAACCAAAATGTTCGGTTTCAGCGGAGTCTAACCAGCACCAACCAATATCTCCAACAAAACCCTATCCCCTATCCTATTCGTGACTCGTAAAACCCTTCTTCTATATATGTTTTGGTAGAGTACTGTTAACTGGTGGTAACTAATATCTCTAACAAAACCCTAGCTGCTAACATATTCAAGCTAGGCTTGCAAAACCCTTCTTCTATGTTTCAGCAGGGTGTAATCGACAACAACCAATATATTTAAGAAAACCTTATCCGCTATCATATTCATGGCTTGCAAAATCCTTCTTCTATGCTTCATAAACCTTATTCCCCTAGTGGGTTCACAGCCATTGGAAGTGGGATGGAACAGAATCAGAACTCAACCAATTATGCCTATACTGGACACTTTTCAAGCAATGGGACTACGGAGGCCGGGCATTCGACACCAATGGAGATTGGCGGAAACTCTCTCTGGTTTTTTTTTTTAATTTACTATATCGTAGATATATATATATATATATATATATATATATATATGAAAGACCTCCTTTTTGTATTTAATAGTCCATTCTATACTTATATAGTTAGATAGTTGAGATAGGGTTCCATCCAAAAGACTTAAGCCTTGTGGTGGATAACCTCTTCTCAATTGTATATATTATTCATTATTTGTTTAACTATTCAATGTGAGATATGTGTTCTAACTCTCCTCCTTACTTGCAGCCAATCTTTTGGGACTCGTCAACTGGCTTGGGCTTTAGAATATTTGTTGGGCCGTTGAGCCTCTTTGAGGCTCCGATATCATATAGGATGGGTTTGCACTCGAAAACATGACTATTGTTAGATCAATATAAAATAATAATCAATATAAAAAAATATAAAAGTTGTAGAATGGAATATCCACAATAAGACTTAAGCTTAGTTTTTTTTTTTAAAGGATGGAATCCAATTTAAATGGGATAATTACACTATAAATATATAAATTTTTATTTTTTTCCTCAATTGAATATATGAATTTTAATTTTTTTCGTTTGAGTATATCAATTTTTTTAAAATTACCAATCAAGTATTTTTGTCAATTTTTTTGTTAATCGATAGCATGTCTAGTACCCTCAAAATACCAAATTATAATTTTACTCTTGTTCTTAATCGAGTACATGAATTTTAATTTTTTTTCCGTTTGAGTACATCAATTTTTTCAAAACTATCAATCAAGTATTTTCATCACTTTATTTATTAATTGATGACGTATTCAAATATGAAATTATAATTTTACCCTCTTTTTTTGAAAGAAACTTTCTCCTCAAACTATTTTATTATTTTATAACTTGAAAAATAATTAAAAAATATATTTTTAACCATTAAAATTCCAAACTAAACTTAACTAGGTTAATGTTAAAAAAAAAAAAATCATTTAGATTCAAAAGTAAAAATTGAAGAAAAATACAAATGAATCTTCTCGATGAAAAATTTCACGTTTGTGTTTTCTACAATTTCACACTCAAAACCTAATTGATTTTTTTTTAATAGCAAGCCTTATTAAGTTTAGGTCGAGATTTTATAACTAAAAATAATTTTTGAATTCTTTTTCAAATTTTAAAATGATGGAATAATTTAAGAAGAAATTTCCTTAAAATAAAAAATAATAATAAAAGTTTTTTGATATCTAGATATGTCATCAATTGATGGAAAAATTAACAAAAGTATTTGATTGATAGTTTTGAAAAAATTAGTGTACTCAATATGAAAATATTAAATTTCTTGTACTTTATTGAAAAAAAGATAAAATTATAATTTGGTATTTTGAGAATAATAGACGCGTCATCAATTAATGAAAAAATTAGTGAAAGTATTTGATTGACGAGTTTTGAAAAAATTAATGTATTAAAAAAATTAAAGTTAATTTATACACTTGATTGAGAAAAGATTAAAAGTTGGTATACTTATATTATGATTATCTCTAATTTTAACTATCTAATTTATTATGTTATCAAAGCCTCCAATAAGTCCAATGGTTTAATAAAGATCCCGAAGTTCAAACTAATTAAAAAATTAACTCTAAAAAATGGATTGTAATTGAAAGATAGTACTAAAATTTTTATCTCACATCAAATATAAAGTAATATGAAAATTGTAGAATGAATTGTCCACCATAAAGTTTTAGTCTTTTGAATGGAAAGCCTCAAAAAGACTAATGGTCTAGTAAAAATCATAAAATCCAAGCCACTTAATTAATAAACTTTAAGAGATGAATTGTAAACGAAGAAGAATGTAAAATAACCTATCTCACATCAAATATAAAGTAATATAAAAATGGTAAATTAGACCATCATATTTCAGTCTTTTGAACGAAATTCAATTTCAATTATATAATTCAATAATTACTAAGAGATGCTGTCAATAAAAAAGAAATGATGGTTGGCCTCTGCCTTCATCCTTCTTTACAAGAGAAAAACAAGCCTAAGGAATTCGAATGCAGACAAAACAAATATGCTAAGTACAATCCACCTACATTTATTACTGTATCCATTTGGCCCCTTTGCTTAAATATTGCCAACAGAAAAATTGTCAAGGCCAAAAAGCAAAGATACCTCTGGTTTTATGTTACAAATGTTGCCACTGTTAGGTAGTGTTTTTTGACAACAAATTCATTTTCCTTCCAAAGAGAGAAACAACCAAACAAAATAAAAGAAAATTAAAATAGTTGCATATGCACTACCAGAAAGAAGAAGGAGAAAAACGGGAGAGGGAGAAAGAGAAAAGGATAGGGAGCTGCATGCAGGTTGTTTCTGGTTGGTATAGAGAGGCAGATAATTGATTTATAATCAGTTTCTGAATCTTTTACCTTTCTGTTTTTTTCAAAATTTTTGCTTATTGTCGACAACATCAACATAATTTTCATTGCTAAGGACCTTTTTCTTATACGTTTCTCAAATTTCAGAAGGTTTGATTTACATTTTGATTATGTATATAACAATTGATATGTGATAAATTAATTACAGTTTAGATACCAAAGGAATTCGGACGAAAGCTTCTCTAAAGCAGTAGGTAAATATGTGCAATTTTTTATTTTTTATTTTTCAAGAAGTAAACATGTACAATCAATTATGACTAAGAATGATTTTTTTTTCAGAAGAGGATGAGCACACAATCAAACTGCAGGAAAACTTAATTCTATGTATATAAAATAGTAAATGATCCTTGTGCCATTACTTAAAAATATATTTGCCTGTGCATTCATATTTGCATTAGTATCACATGAACATGATATATATGATTGGCTTGTGATAGATCCTTTCACACTTGGTTGATCATTAGATTAGATTTGCTTTCCAATTTGGTTAGTGTATACCAATCTCAAAATGATTTCACCTAAGACTATGAAAGGAAGATGATCATTGAATGCATGAAGCTTATTTAAAAAAAAAAATCATTCGCAAATGCTTGCTTTAAACCTAGTTTGAAGCCAGTGTAAGCAATTGTTATATTAACTAAATTATGTTCTTGTTTTTACATAGATTTCTTCATTTTTGTTAAGACCGGTAAGTTGAATATGTTTTCTTATAATATTTTTTGTTAGAACCATTAATTTTACCCGTATTTCTTCATTTTTGTCATAAACTTTAATTTTGAAGTTTTTTTTTCAACAATTTTTTCTTAAAACTATTAATTTTACATGTGTTTCTTCATTCCTGTTATGACCTTTAATTGCAACATATTTTCTATAACAAATTTTCTTAGTATTGTTAATTTTACACATGTTTCTTCATTTTTGTTATTACCATTATTTCTAATGTATTTCCTTACAATTAGTTTTGTTAAAACCATCAAATTTACTTGCGTTTTTCATTTTTGTTGTGGCAGTTAGTTTTAATAGGTTTTCATATGATCATTTTTGTTAGAATCGTTAATTTTACACGTGTTTCTTCATTTCTGTTATGACGGTTAATTTTACTGTATTTTCTTACAATAATTTTGTTAAACCCATTAATTTACACATATTTCTTCATTTTTGTTATGATCGTTAATTTTAACATGTTTCCTTATAAATGGTTTTGTTAGAATCGTTAATTTCACACGTGTTTCTTCATTTCTATTATGACCATTAATTTTACTTGTGAGCATCTTTTTTTTTTTTTTTCTTTTGCTATGGTTGTGGAACTTAGCATGTATTCCTATAACAATTTTCTTAGAACTACTAATTTTACACCCATTCCTTTATAAAATATCTTATTATGATTACCAATTTCACATGCTTTTCTTATTAAATTTTGTTTATTATTTACATAATATTGGGCTCATCTCTTTTCTTTATCAAATATATGTGGATCATACACATACACATTTCCAAAGTTTCTAAGAAACTAAGGTTCAAAATTGGTTTAGTGTCTACTCAGGGTTGCAACACAATATATGAACTGCAAGTCCCAATAGTTGATCCAAAGTTATCAAATAAAATGATGCTTCTTTGCATTTTGTTATGATATCAAAATCTTAGGTAGAATTAGTAGATAGGTTGTAAAAGATTTTTTTTCCATAATTGTCAAATTTTGAAAGGATTTTTTTTTATTTGGCATTTTTAAATCTTATTTTTATTCCTTGTATATCACATATAAGCTTACAATTCAATGTATATAGTAAGACACTTGAGAGTATGCAGATATATATAGGTACAACTTAAAAGTACAAGATGAAAATATATGTGAATATATGTAAAACAGGCCTGATGAAGAGTACTCGAGCAACATATTCCTATTTTACAAAATAACCAATATCATTTTATGGTGCTCTTTCTTACATTTTCATCTTCTTCAGGATGATCTTCTTTAATACATTTATTGCCATCGAGAATTGTATCTTTTTGCTGCGATATGATGATTTTGAATCTTAGATAAAATTAGTCAATTTGATCTTAAAATCTTTTATAATGTGAAAAAATAATCCTTATAGCTGTATAGGTTGTTGTGATACAATACCAAGACACTCATTAGATTTTTCCTTTTCTTTGAGATTAGTGATAAAAGATTTGAACTCAAAATATTTTGTTCACTGAGCTTTTATATATATATATATATATATATATATATATATTAGTTTTTGCATTAATTAAAACTAAATTTACTATTTTCTGATTTAAGCCAGCACTAGAATACTTGAGTTAAAATTCATTAATCTCATAAGAATTGAGTTGAGGCTAATATTTAATCTTACTATACTCAATAACATAAAACATTTTCTATCTCAAAAAAAAAAAAAAGAAAAAAAAAGAAAGAAAAAAAACAAATTATACAGAAATTTTATGCAAACTGATTGGTTTAGTAAAAAGTTGTGATCAATAGGTCCCTAAATATTAGTAAACGTTTAATAAAAATTGTAAATGAATTTGAGTATGATTGTGTACATGTGTTTGTATAGTATTACTTTTCTTAATTACTTCATTTAAAAAATTAAGTGGAGGAAAAGGGACATTACTATTTGGAACTACGTACTAAACTCTAATAATATATTTATGCCTAATATTCTAGGAGGAAAATGTTATCTAACAATCCAAGTTGGGGTCAAACTTCACAAAATCAGCGAGTTGTTGCTGCTAATGCAACCTCACATGTTACAATTTATGAAGAAGTACAGTATGGTAGAAGAACCTTCTCAGAATATCAAGGTGCTGATAGGTTTTATGAAGAAGTACAGTACGGTAGAAGATGCTCAGAATATCAAGGTGCTTGCAGGTTTTATGAAGAAATACCGTATGGTAGAAGAACTTCAGAATATCAAGGTGCTGATAGGTTAGTATTGCTGTATCTTTTATTGCGTGGTTTACTCGACATATCAATTATGAGCAACACATCTTATATAGAAGAAAGCTGAAGAGCGCATAATGCAAAATGTAGGAGCAAGGAGCAACGAAGGTGCGTGGCTTATGCATTCAACAATGGCATACTGATACCAAATCAACCATCAGGGATAGGTAAAGCTATCTTTAGTTTCCAACATTTGTTTGCTCTACTCAAAATCGATCATTTTCATGTATGATTTAACTACTAGCATTTCGTTAAGGATATAAAGTCGTCAATTCTAGCCGTACGTGTAAATCGATACTTTTTTTATAGACCTTATCCTCCTGTAGTTTGTAGATCTTTCTCATTACTAATGGCATATCTGCTGAGTGATTTGTTTGGAATTATTGTATGAGAATATAATTTAAACGGATTATTTTGTATTTTACAATTCGATTTTAATATGATAATTTTATTGAAATCCAATATTATATAGTAATAGAATAATACTACTATTTTTGAAATAATTATACATATGGAAAGAGTATCATTACTTTTACTTTTGTTCACCTTAACTACGAAACCTGGTTCTGCCCCTAGCTAGGATCCATGATTGCATTCAGCAATGGCTGTCCGTAACGAAAGCTTCTGTTATCTCTATTTAATTTCCATGCAATAAATCAAATTGAAACTACTCTTCTTTCTGTGCCTTGGCATGAAGTGGGGCAGACATATAGTTGATGCTGAAACTATTTCTGAGTAATTGCTTATTCAGATCATTTACGTTAATGAATATTCCTTTTAAGCAGTAATATCTGGCAAACAAGAGGCTGCAATAACTCATGATTTGGCTTCTCTTAAGTTTTCGGTGTCATCTGCACAACTGAATTTCCCGGTATGCTCCTATTCATGTTTAGAGCAGAGAAAGACACTATAATAAAAACATTTTATAAATCTCTTCTTAAGTGCAAAGCTATTAAGTTCATTAATTGGTGAAATTTTTAAGTCATTAGTTTTTGCATATATGTGAAATTTTTAATGTTGTAGCAGATACCTAACCATGCTAAGGAAGTGGGAGCTATGGGACAAATGACTGGCCAAGATGTTGCAAACTTTAATAGGTAAAGCAAAAGCCTAACGATCCGTTTCATCTTAATATCTCATTGATTCTTTGCAGTACACGATTTCTGCCTTTGTTCATGTGTCTGTACTTGATTCCGTGGTGTCTCCTTTAGGTCAAGAAATAGCTTTGTACGAGGCAAATCTAGATTTCATGGAGTTGCAAGGTATTCAAAATTATTATTATTATGAGAATCGATATCAGATTAATTGAATAAGAAGGTTGCCATCTGGTAGGTGGCAAATTTACGGAAGTTAAGATCTATATAAATAAGCACAATAGAATCTACAAGAAAATAAAAACTATACACATGCGGTTTATTTATAGCCTTTATGAAAACTATTCCTGACTAATGTATCTGCAATTCCATTCCTTTCTCAAAGGATATGGCTGGATGAAATGGACTCCAGTGTTTCGATTAAAGAATCAATAGAGTTAAGCATACTCTGCAAACGCCAAGGCCAAGCAGAGATTTTCTTGCTTATCTAAGCAATAGATCGGCCAAGTCTGATTTGATAATCTAATTCACTTGATAAGCATAGACTGAAGAGACACTGATTTCCAAAACTTTCAAGATTGCTATAACCTCAATCTTGTTGGATTTCTTGATCTTTGTTGGGATAGGGAAAGTGCACATAAAATTTCCTTCATAACTCCTTAAAACTCCTCCAATACCAGAAATTCTAAGCTTGCCCGAAGATGAACCATCAACACTTTATTCTAGAAAGCCTGGTTTATATTAGAGAATAATATAAATCATATCCTAGGGTCTAACCTAACAGCTTAAGCTTTTGGATGAGATGGTCTTTTGACATAGTATTAGAGCCTTGCTAATCTAACGATCAAGATTTCGAATCCTACCACCCTCACTTTCTCTTATAATTAATTAAACACAAGGTAGTATGGGTGAGATGATCCTTTGATAGTGTAGACCAAAAGATAGTTGCTCAACATTTTGGATAGTTAATCCACATCTTGATACGATCTGAATATCGTTCCATATTGCTGCCTGCCTGTATAAATAAAATGTTTATCCATAAATTTTGCCCAATAAGCAACCCTGTAGAAGATTAGAGAAAAAATGCAATCTCAATCAGGATCAATATCATTGAAGACAGCCAACCAAATAGACTAAATTGTGCTGCATGCATAACTAAATACCAAATCTTTTTCTACATCCATCTATTACAAAAATATTTCCATCTTTGGAGCAAATCGTCAATTGAAGATGGCATAACTTAAATATTATCCCACCAGCCCGTGATCCAACACCACAAAATTCATGTCACATCACAATGACGAAGCAGGTGTTGAGTTGTTTCTGACCAGAAATACAGAGAGGATAAATATTGGTTTCCTCTCTTAACATACCTTTTGCGGTAAGTGAGCTCCTAGTGTTTAATCTCTCTAGCATGGCTAACTAGGTCAAGGCTTCAGTCTTCAGAGGGGCGAGATTTAACCACACATTTAAATTATAGATGTAACAGCTAAAAGATGATTGTTAAGAAGGGATCAACTCGAATATTTAACAAAGCATAGCCCAAATCAATGCCTTGGAAAATCCCTCAAGCAGCAGCACTATTTAGACGTACCATAAGCTCTTCTGCAGCCAGGTTAAAAAGAAAGGGCGAAAGTGGATTTCCTTATCTAGATACCTCTAGAAACACTAAATTCAGAAGCAGGTGACCCACTGATCGAAGATAGAAAGTCCAATAGTATTGATGCAGTGAGAAATCCACCTCCTCCATCAAATACCAAACCCCATATGAACTTCCATAGTGCTCAGCAAATAGTTCCAAAAAACAGAGTCAAAAGCTTTTTTAAAATCAACTTTTCTAAATAAATCCTTGGATTTTGCGCTTTTTCAAAATATGAATGATCTCATTAGCAAGTAACGCGCTACCTAAAATTTTCCTCCCGGATACGATTGATTCTTATTGATAATTTTAGGCATAGTTTCTCGAAAGCGACAAGAAAGAAGGGCTATGATCTTAATTATACAATCCATTGACCAGACTGATGGTATTCAAAATTATTAGTGTCTTTCTTGCTCTGGCAAGCAGCTAAGAAGTACTTTGGCTTCGAGAACTCTGATGTGATTAAAAATTTTAAAATATGAAGATGTTAACTTAACTTTATTTAATTTAATCATATCTATGCGTAATTGATTGTGGACTCAATTTTTCATTTTATTTGGAACAGGCATCATGACACTGGAAAATGGCAAGCTTGGACTGCAACGGGTGAAACTATCTTGGGAATTTTCGGTTAGTTTTTGCTCTTTATATTTTTAGCAGTCGTTTAGTATCACTTCTGCGTTTTGGTTTTCTTTCAAAAAATCTGAAAATAAAAATAAGAAACATGTTTGTTTTAGAAAATGTGAAAAACTATTGTGAAATTGATTTAAAGCCAAACAAAATGATATTCGAAAATTATATAAAAAAAACAAACAAGTCCTCTTGTTTCTGCTTCTAAAAAATTTGAAAACAAAAACAAATTATTCAGGGAACGGCAAGAAATATCAAATAACTCCTTGGTTAGTCCACTATGAATCCCAAATATCGTTTTCATGGCAAACCAATGCATTGTATAAATGGATCTATTTTTCCATGTTTGTATCAAAATCAGAGACGGAAGAGGAAGCAGCAATTGCTTTCGACTTAGCATGCATAAAGCAGAAAGGATACCAAGCAATCACCAATTATGACATAAGACACTATGATGTTAATGCAATGCTTAATGGCAACAAACCCAAGCTGCAAGGAGTGGAAGTGGAGAAAACATGGCCAGTGACAGCCCAGATGCAAGCTTATCCTCACATCACAAACACAAACAATGCTGGATGGAACATTAACATACAACCTAGAATCTACCGTGCTCGAGGGTTTCGGCTACCAAGAGAAGGTCTGACGAACTTTGTTGAGATCTTGGGTCTTGAGAAGCAGGATAATGGATCAGGATTAAGGTTCCGACATGGAGATTCTAGCGCTTTTAACTTGTACCAAGAACAGATAATAAAACCAGCAGTTCGACACGCTGGTTTTGGCATTGGACATGCAACTGCAAGTTCATATCAATTTTACAAGCAAACGGAAAGTGGTGATCATCAGGACTCCTCGTTCGCACCTCTGCAACCACAAAACCGTTGGTTGTTCCCGCCTTACTCCATAAATGTTCAGAGAGAGCAGCGGTTGAAAGCTGCAGGAGTGGGGTTTAAACATTCAATCCCCAGTCGTTTCAAGGTTTACAAAAGGAACACCATGTGGAAAGGGAAAGTAAAGGTGAACTTCTGATCCTCGAGTCATATGATATATATGAACTCAGTTATGTTTTATTTGCAAGAACTATGTTTAAAATCACGGATAATGCTTGCTAATTAGAGATTATGACCATGACTTAAATTAGCAATCTATGCTATGCCTATGACTTTTTTGTTTGATATTTGCCTGCTAATTTTTGCTTTTTTTTTTCAAGATAGTAATTGTACTGTGCTTAAACCGTAACTAGTCACATCCGAGTAATTTTATAATACACGGGAATAACTAGTGGCATGTATAATAGTTACTCTATGGGTCCATTTTGAAGAGAGAGATAAACAAAAAAAAAAAAGAGAAAGAAACAAGAGAGAAAATAAAAAAATTTGAGCAGAAATGGAAATCTTCTTATCACTTTTTGTGGGTATGGATGTAATTTTATTATTTTTTTATGTCTATCTCTCTTTCAAAATGGGCTCGTGGAGTAACTATTATACATGCCACTAGATTACTTCTTTGTATATTATAAAATTTTTCGTCATATCCTATTTCAGTTTGGCTGACTACCCAACCCACTCCTGCATGCTAACAAGAATCTAATTCGTATTAGCATGAATACTGTTGATGTTTATGACTGATGATCGATTGATCCTTGCTCTAACTATTTATCCGAGTATTATTGTATCTTTACTTATATCCATTAAACTATTTATTTGCTTTTAATTTACCAACAACAAAATTTTGAAGATTTGCTACACAAACTTGTCATGGATCATATAATTATGAGGCAAGGACCTCTTTTTAGAGATTCACACATAGGTTTGTGAGAATGGCATGTCGGAGAACAAGAATTGGAAGGTTTCTTTTTGCAGTTTGATTCTCTCTATGTGATAATCTAACATATGTATCAAAATTAAATCACAATGTCTAAGATTTTGTACAAGTTCTACTTCAGTTTATGTATCCCTTAGTCCACCAAAATTAATTATTCACAACTTTGAGACACCGAGAATGAAATCACAACAGTTTTTCCGCTGGCAAAGACCGGACCTTCTCTCCAATCTTTCGTCAAGTCTTCATCACTAGTTTAGCCGTTAGCCTGCCACTGCTATGCAGCCTATGTTCTGCCAACGCTTGCAAACAGTTCATCTGTGACAGATTGGAACGTGATTGCTGTTTTCTTTGAACTAAACAACACTCTTAAGCACATAAAGTTTACAAGAAAGCAGAGGCTTCTGCTGCATTTTAACAAAACCTGAAACTTTGAATCAACCAGTGGTTTTTCACTGCTTATTCTTCAAAAGTGCTCTTTTTTCTTCGTATTTACTTTGACAAAAAAGAGGGAAAAAAGGAAACAAAAGATGTACAATAAAATTCACTCCCATCCCTCATGCAGACCAGACCTCACGAAGGAGTTCATATCTTGCATTTGCTACTGAAACCCCTGCATGTTCCTTGTGCTTACCATTCCCATTGCTCATGATAGCTGGAGACGATGGCACTTTTCCAATTATCAATGTAAGAGGAGAATCTAATTCATCCAGTTCCTCGTCACTGGTATATCCTTTCCTCTGAACAGCAGATATATTCCTTGACAACGGAGACTTAGTTCCTGCCTGCGCAACTTTTTCTGCTACATCAGATGAAGACGGTGGTGTGTACACAACTGGGGCAGCTGTATAGGGGAAGTTTCTTGCAGCATCTCCTGACAATCTCCGCTCCACGATACTCTGACAAATGTAGTAAACATCCCACAATGAAGTATTGCATCAGTTTTCTATATTTATTAATTTTGCTTAATATTATGGCATTAAGGCAAGTTCACACATATAATATAAAGTCAATGAGGTATTATCAGCAAGCTGGTAAAATATTGGCGGGAATCCCTCAGTACTTTTTTATTGTTAGGCATGTTATCCCCCAAATTTGAACATTATTATAGTTTTAAAAAATGGCCATCATGGCCGTTATATAACGGTAACGAAGCACCCCATTACCGTTATTCAGCATTATAGGTGCCTCGATGCAGTTTCACACGAATAACAGCAAATAATGATGTTACTATTATGGAACACCGTTATTTGCCGTTATATAACGGCTTTACAAAGAAAAGGAGCTAGAATTTCAACCATTTCAGCTACTGAAATTCAGGCAGAGAGGCAGAGATGAGAGGCAGGGATGAGAGGGAGAGAAGTTTTGGGTGATAACAGAGGTAGAAAATCAGATGAGATATGAGAGAGGAACTTGGAAAAAAACCCTTTGATTTTGAAAAGCAAGAGAAACACATGAATTCTTTAATATCAAATACCTGCATTAGCAGGCTTTGATTGAAAAAATTATAAATTAGTCCTCTTATTTTGAAAAAATAATATAATTAATCCTTTATTTCAAAAACCAATAATTTGTTTGTTTATTTTGTTCATTTTATATTTTTTTAATTTATTTTTATTTTTTGTTTTAAAAAAATAGAAAAAGCAAAAAATAAATCCATAACACAAAAAAAATTGATGAAAAAAATATTTTATAGAATAATATATAATACATTGAACTTGAACAATATCGATTAAAAGATTAAATAATTAATGTTTAAACATTAAAAGCTAATTAATTCATTTATCAAAACTAGAGAGGCTAATATACAATTTAATCTTTATTATTCTACTTTGGCTGTCTTGCATGCACAAATTCAAAGACTGACAAAGCAAATGCAGGCTTTAATTGAATAAATTATAAATTAATCCTTTTAGTTTGAAAAATAAATTAGATGGTTCTTATTGTTTTAAAAACTTATTATTTTTTTAATTCTATGTTATTTTTTAATTTGTTTTTCAAAACAATTTATGGTTGTAATTTTGATGGACAAGAATCATAACATCAACAACAAGATGATAACTATTATTATAATTCTCCACAACGATTTTTTTGAATATGAATATTTTATAATGTGTATATTGAAATTATAATGTATTTTATTTTATTTTATTTTTTGTGATATTAATTTATTAGAAATATTATTAACTATTTTTTGTAATAAATTCAACTATTGTTGTATGATATTAAACTATTAGAGATGTTATTACTTATTAATATGTTTAATTAGTAAAAATCTTTAAAATATATATATTATAATAAACTTATTATCAATTGCTAATGTATTTACGACATTGATTGCTACGACCATTATTTTACTATCGCAATAAGCCGTGATCCGCAATCGCGATCGCGATCGTGACCGTCTTTTCAACAACGACTGCTATTTAAAACTATGGTATTATCTCTCATGACGATCCAAAATAAAAATGGAATTCAAAGCTCCCAAAACTATCTGGTTTTCGACAACAGAAAGGTGAGATAGAAATGAAAGGAAGGAAAGATTTACCTCAGCGTGCAATGCCTCTAATACAGCTCCAGGGACATGATCTGGGCAGAACTCATCAGGAGTAAAGTTGCAGAGTATCCGCTTAATTAATGGAAGACCAATTGATGGGCATACCTTTCAAAATATAAGGGTAGAATATCAATCAGTTTTGAGATTAATCAACTTCAAAGGAGGTGAAAGTAACATTTTTTTATGCAAAAGAGACAAGATTCTAAGATCAACCTCCTTCCTGATTGAGCGGTCCATAAGCATGTCTTTTGGAAGCATCAGAAGATCACTCAAGTCATTAAGAAGAACAAAGGATTTAGTTTCACCATCTTGCCTGTCATCATCCCCACCGTCGGGCTGATCTTCTTTCAGGGAATCATATGCAGCTATGCCAAACATATCAGTAAGCCACCTAGACCAATTACCAACCTGCATGGAGAGTAAGTCACTCATGCTTTAACACTTGTAGAATGTCAATGTTCAATTTGATTTCATATAGAAATATGTGATGCAGAAGGGAACCACATCAAGCTAACAAAGCTTCAGTATGCCTGCTTATACCTAAAATGTTTCTATCGGTACAGTATTCTTTTCTTGCAAAACTATAGCTGCCAAGTTTGACATGTTTAATAAACTGTTTGGCCAGAGTGAAGAGAATTATATTCATCAGAATGCTACTTGCTATCTCAAGCCATTGTCAAATGGATGAGGCAGAGAAATCAATTGAAGTCTGCTAATACGTACAGAATTTTTGAGTTGTGCCCCAGAACCGAAGCTCCACTCTCCAGCTGGAATTGGCAGAACCTTGGAATCTAGGATAGGATCCGAAACAGGGTCAGTTGGAATCTCATGGGCAGACTCGCGCAGAATAGCATTGAACATTGCCACATCTAGTCTGGCAACACATTGTTCCATAACCTGTGAAAGAAATAAATACAGTTAAGCCACCAAAGCAAACAGTTGAAAACATGGCTAAACCAGATTGCAGCCAGCTAAAAATTTATCAAAATAGGATACATGGGCTTGAACTTATAATGCCATGCCTGTATGACTGAAATATAGAAATTGAAGATGAAAATGAAGGGCAAACAAATAGAAAAACTAAATACCATTCTTGCAATGATGGGCAAGCAACCACACTCATGACTTCCTGCTCTAACAGGACAAAGTCGTTGGAAAGCATCCTGGAAAGCGTCCTTCCATAAGTTGATAGAAAAGCTACCCTGCTGCTGGTCACCCAAGGCTGGTCCAAGCAACCTTCCAGTGGTTTTATTGGAGGACAAATCCCCAGTAGGAGATTGCATATGTGGAGTTAAAGCCTGAAAACGTAACGACATAGAAGAAACTTATAAGGAAAAATGAACTTAATACCTAAAGCCCATATAACATAAATGGCATATTGTTGATGAAAATATGATTATGGGACTTGAGCTTTCAGTCTAACAATTGACAGAGTCAAATGAAGTCAGGGCCTGGAATTCATTTATTGAACCAAAAAAAGAAAAAAAAAAAACAAAGGTTTTCCTATAGATGATTATTTTGTTTTGCCTTTAAGCATCAACAAGAAATTTATAAAATTCAGTGATCCCCACTCTTTCTTACCTGCCACCATACAGATTCGACCATACGAGAAAATATCCATGATTCAACTTTTTCTAAAGCAGCAGTAAAGGTTCCTGTCTCCTGCCAATCATCAGCAAACTGCATAAAACCGTTAACTTGCTTACTACCAGAACCAACCTTCCATTTCAGTGCTGCAGACTTCCCTTCACTTTTCTTGCTACCCCCATTGGAGTCAGCAAGCCTTGCAAAGGGACTTGAGTGCCGTGAAATTCCAAACGCCTGAGAAACGATCTCTCTCAGCACAATTGTGTTGGACAACCAAAATGATAACCTTTAGAAACAGAAGGAAAATTTTATTAGTCTACTATAAAAAAAATAGCAGCACGTGGAAACAATTTTGACATAAAACGTGATTTTTACTTGCCTTGGAACATCATTACCGCAGGATTTTGAAATCAATACAAGTCCTGAAACAGTGTTTCTGGCAATCGTAGCTCGCTTATCCTGAGTCCAATGCTTGCAAGCATGAATGTAGAGTCTAGAAAGCCGTCGTGCAGGTGTGTGCACCTTATGTGCTGAGCTCCCATGTTCTGGTATTACAGAATATAGTGAAATTTCAAGAGCAGCAACTTCTCTGAGCTCTGCTTCAAGTTTTCCAATTCTCATTTCCATGCCTTCAATCTTTTGATTTAACTCTGCTTCATCCTCCTGTTCACCATTTTCTTCAGCATCAACTGTTTCATTGTCACTTGCAACACTCTGAGTACCATTTGATGCCCCATCTAAAACATCTATTTCTTTTACATCTTCTGCAGGCTTGTCATCAACTCCTTCAGAAGATTCTGATGAAGGTTTAGGAGGAACTCTCATGTCTTTAGAATTTTTATCAAAAGAACTTTTGGAAGTAATTTTTGACGACCCTTCATTTGCTTTAGCAGGTTTTTTAGGAGTGTTATTTACTGCTTTAGACCTTGATTTACTAGTGTCGCAGTCAGATTTCACCCTTGATCCATGATGACCACTTTCTGATGAATTCTTTTTGGAAACTGTTTTAGGAACTCTTGAAACGTTTTCTACTTTCTCATCCTCAGCTGTCACTGAATCCCCTTGAGATGATACTGAATCTTTAGTTGTCTCAGAATCTGAATCTTCTTCCTTCCCCTGCTTAGCTTCTCTATCCAAGTCATCAGAATGCTGATCTAAAGCCTCATCCTTGATCATTTTGGCAATCATGGCATTGGCTTTTGAATCTTGAGGAGCCTCCTCAGACTTGTTGACATCATCCACATAATGTATAACCAAGTTTTCATAAATTTCAGAGCGTCCTGAGCCCGCGTTCGAATCACTTACTAAAACACTGGAGTCTGGTTTAGCATGCAAGGCTTTAGATTCAACTCCCTTTATATTCGATGTTTGATTCAGTTTACGATCTCTCCTTTCAGTTTTTCCAGAGCGCTTTGACTGATTGTTATTCAGAGTTCTTCTCTTATCGGTCTCTTTCATTCTTAATTTGTTCCACCTCTTCCTTCCACAATCAAAAGAGTTAGCAAGCTGTTGTCACAAGAGAAAATATCAGTAACCGGTGAAAAAAATATTCATTAAAAATTCAAATGGTAGATGCAATCATTCATGTAATTGCACCTACCTATCATAAACAGGCTCCCTCAAGTTTTAACAAGCAAAGGAAATTTCTTCTGCCCACTTCTTCTTTATTCAAGTATCTTGAGAACAATCCTGAAATAAGACAGCAATTGCCATAGTTTTAGAAGCTGATATAAACTATCTATAGTACTTAACAACAATGATCTTGAATGTAAAAAACTTAAGGTCGAGACAAATCATTGAAACTTGTTGAAATATTCAGACACTAGATCCAGGGCACTTTAAACACATGTAACTGTAAACCGTTTATCATAACTTGGCAACAAAGCTGGGTGATTATTTGATTCTGAGTTATTCCACCGACCTGCGACAAGCACAGTGAGGGACATAAAATTGCAAACCACAGTGTTTGGAATATGAAAACTCTGATGGACAAACAGGCCACTTTTCTAGTTTTAGAAGTCCATAGAATGCTTAGCCACCATGATTTAAATTCCAACTCTGTAAAAATAGGAAAAAGAAACAGATACTCATTGAATTATGAAACTCAGTATAATCGCCAAAGCTGGCAATGACTGAGCTACACTAAACAGGGAGTCCACTAACAAAAATAAAAGGAAAAAGAATAAAAATATCTGGCTCAAAATGGAATAAAAATCAGTGAGGATATTTTTTAAAGTAGATAGAACTGAAGAATCTAGTAAGTGAAAAAACAGAGCCATCATACATTAAAACGACACCATGTTTTTTTGTTTTTTAACTACTGTTTTACATAGATCCTGTGTGATAAAATCAGTTCTCCATTCAACATCAAGCAGACACAGCAGAAGGCAAAATAAAACAAAGAGCACCAAATCCAATTTCTAGCATTCGCTATAATCACATTCAAAAACCAGATCTACTCGATAATCACTGAATTAAGAAATGAAAATTATTACCTTTTAACAGAGACACGATTTCGAAGAATGCCAAAACTTAAAAAGCTTAGAATTATCGATTCAGTAACCTTATCAAAGAATCCAAGCCAAACAAACAACAAACAACCTGAAATTTTTATGGTACGATGAAGGACGCAAATACTAGAAAGCGAAAACTCAACCACAGAAAAACGAATAAATAATCTGTAACTGTAACTACGTTAAAACAAAAAACAAAACAAAATGCACTTCGCATTGTCAAATTAATTAGACAAAAACGACCGAAAAAGACTATAGAAAACGACAGAGAAAAGCTGTTGTCGCGGTTAAAAAGCAAATAGAAGAAGTTACCGTATCGTGTTTTTTTGTTCAGCTTCCAAAAATGCTTGCTAATAATAACCACTCCTCGGGATTATCACTGCTTCTATTCTCTATAAAATCCTGAACTACAAAATTTACCTTTCTCTTTCCTTCTTCTCTCCCTGAAATGGCATGTGAATTGTGAAGCTTTATATTTGCAACTTGCAGAGAGTGAGCGAATGAGTTGCGGGAAGCTGGCTGGCATTTAAAAGGTGTTTGTATTTTGGCAAGGACGGATTGATGACCGGGAAGAGGCTGTCGGTGGAAGGGGTGACTGGGAATAGCCGGTTTGGACCTTGACGCGTTACGTGGAAGATTTATTGGTATTACCTAAACTGCCATCATTGTTTTTCTTGGAATAACCCAACTGAGTTGGTCATTGTCTGCTAAACCGTTAGGAATTGGGAGATTGGTGTTTGATTTTTATTTGAACTGGATTGATGTTGAATGGGGATAGGAAGGAAGGTGTAGTGTAACCATCTTCGGTTGTTTTCAGTTCTAAATCTGCAAATGTTTTTCAATGGAGTAATGTTTACAATGCGTGTAGATTCAAGAACCGTCAGGAAGTAGGATCAAAGCACACCAAATTCACATAATTAATGGAGTTATTTTGCAAGCAAGATTTTCCTTTTTGTGTTCCAAATTACTTCGGATGATGTCTAATATTTATTAAGAATACCAAAATTCAAACTGATGATGTTTTATTTACCTTGTGTGTTTCATTGTATCAAATATTTTTAAAGTTAAGTATTTCGAGAATTATTTAAAAAAATAAGAAGACCTGTTGATTATTATTATTATTATTATATTAATGAAGGGATGGTGGAGAAAAGAAGGCCATGCTTGGCCTACGAGAGTTGAAATTAAATAATTTAGGAAGAGGGTGTTTCAGGCATTTAAATGTTCATCAGGACTTTAGGCTGCCAGGCTGCAGCTAACCATTTATTTCTTTGCCTTCTGGTGCAATAGCAAATCTCTTAGAAAAAACAAGTGTTGACTCACTCATTCAAAAAATTCAGGATTCAGGACCACTGCATGGACGGACCGTACTCCATTGGTAAAATGTGGCAGAAAAGAAACATAAATCCAATTCTATGATTGCTCCCTACAAGTTACTCCTAACAAGTTCAGAAATGGTTGACTGGCCATCTAGATGCACGGGCTCCACATTGCCAACAAATCGTGTCGCAATGTGCATCGTTTCTGGCCCACGGATAGAAGGGAAAAATAATCAACCCATATTTGCCACTTCAAAACCATTTGTCTGATATATGGAAGCTAGCATACACTGATACACATATAATCCTGGACGAGCCATAAAGTACCAGCTCGCTGATAAATAAATATTAATTTATAAATTAGGTTTAGGGTTTGATTCCAATGAATAGTATTTTTAAGAATTTATTTTTAAAATATCTAATATCGTAATTTAGAAAGCGTCGCTTGATCATGTTCTAAGCAATCATGTTCGGAGAACGTTTAATTTTGAAACGTTCAAAGTTGATTGGAAAAAATCTTTACTGCTGCTGCTGGAAAAACAAATCCAGGACTATCTTTGGATTTATATGACCCAACGTTTCCTTAACTTCTAGCACGTTTTGCATAATTATTTAATTGCATTGAAATTTAGATTTTTTTTATTTTTTTATTTTACTAGTATAATATTTTTGAAGCCCTTTAAAGAGCCCTTTTCAAAACTAGAGGAGGAAAAATAATACGGAGGGCCCTATAGAAACAAGACTGAAGAGACATACGTCCTACCGAAGGCCAGAGTAGCATGTAGACGATATGACGATAATTTAATTAAATTTGACTGCATTATATATTCTTTACTCACGCAGACACTTAATTAATTTATTTATTTGGTTTTTTTTTCCGTCATTGCCATCCATTATTAGCTACTGAAGGTTCTAAGATCAGTCCTCCTTCACGTGAAAAGGGTGAGTTTAGTCATATGATTACTCTAAAATATCAGGTGGCTTAGTCCAATTGTCCAAGTGAGACAAAAGGAAATTTTATGACTAAAAAGCTACAACTAATCTTATTGCTCTTGTATTTCACAAATCATTGAAAATGAGATGATAGAACCGTCTCATCTCCATGATTAAGCACATTTCGCTATGATTCTCACATTGATTATTACCTTATTAAACACTGATTAAAGGCTGAGGAAGCTCCATCTATGTAAAGTTCTGGAAAGAATATAGGAACAATGAAAAAAATGAAAAAAAAACAACAAAAAGCAGTATCATTGCTTCAGTCTTATAGCTCTGTCAATTTCAAGTAGTTCACGCTCTAAAGGAAAGACAACAAAAAATTGTCTTCAGTGGACCCCGTGCTACTTCAATCCATCCTGTCAATAGTTAACGGGCGAAGTACATTCTTATCCCCCAACGACCATCAATTACTAATTGGGTCCCAAAACAAAGAAAAAATCAATTGGGTCCCCCATTTATTGGGCATTTACGCATAACCCCTTTCTCAAAGCTTCCTTCTTTCTTTGTTCAAACCTTTTAAATTAGAGTAAAGAAGCCTCACCCAACCTAACCTATATATATATATATATATATATATAGACGTTGAGGTTCTAATGCTAAATGCAATGTTGAAACATAATAATACTACGTTATATATCTGAACAAAATAAAATTGGGAATACATCAAAAGACCGGAATATGGAATGTATAGAAATTATAGTGTAATCCAGCATTCGCTAATTATTTAGTGATGCATAAGTGTGATTGAAAGTGACGAGAGCACCGTCACCACTCCCTTGTGTCATTTTCTACAAGGCCAGCTGAACGCACCGACAATGACTTTCTTGTACATGTATGGTTGCTAAGAAAGACCCATGTTTTGTCCTCAAGCAATTTTGTTAGAAGATCTCTCTGCCTTTCATGTCACCCCTACCAAAAACTCACCATTTAATTTGCCAAAAAGCGAAGTATTCGTGTGACTTAGCCCATTTCTAGTTAAGGATGCATCCAATTACCACGCTTCAGCTATCTACGGGATAAAATTCTAAATCTACACATCAAAGTAGTAGAATTCTGGCGAATATTTATTGTATCTTGCCTATTTTTATCTATCGAAACGCAGGTCAATATTGATTGATTAAAGACCTATTATTGGTTGCTTAAGAAATTTATAGGTCAGAAAAATGTGTAATTTCTTGTTCCTTTTCATAAAACAAATTTTATTCCCACGCTCCAATCCACCACTACGAATCGTACCAACCATGTTAGTCGGGTTAATGTAATAATTTTTTATAATTATATGTTTTAATCAATTAAGCGTATTATGATAGAACCAGCTAATTAATTAAACTGTTTGGTCCACAATAACCAATGGCGAGTTCTTGGAATTTAATTATGAGAAGTGTTCAATATTCTTGGCTTTGCTAGCTGGATATAGAAGACGGCAAATATGTTTAGAGCCTTGGACCGGTGTTAGTGGGAATAATTGAGTATTATCTATTATTCATGACATTTAACAAATTAAGATTAAACAAAACCATTAAAAATCAGCTATTCTGGCTAGTCTGTGCTTCCAAAAATTGTAATATATACAAAGTAACACTGCATTTGGATCGATAATTTATTAAACTAAAGGTCACGATAATTGCACTCCCTACCAGGCCTGATGATGCAACGGAATTCGTTTATTAGCACTCAAAATCACGATGTCGTTTATCATCACCTGCTACAACATTCTTATACATACATACATACATACATATATATATATATATATATATATATATATATGACCTTGTTTACCTCAATTAAAAAAATAAAAAATAAAAAAGGGCGAATGGAGGATAAACTTGCTGAGCAATTGAATATCGTCATCAAGTTTGAAATGAAGACAAGACATATGTGTGAAAACTGGGTGCTGGTGTTACTTCCCTGTTCATTGGTAATAATGCATGGTACCATGTCAGAATCGCAACTACTACTTCCTTAGTTTCTTTTTTCTTGTCTGACTATGTCATTGTACATATTAAAGGGTAGATGTATAGATCTTTTGCTATATTAATTCAACTAGGTAAATATTGTACAGATTGTTGCTATTTTCTGCAAATTCCAAAGGCAAATTTAAACTGCAAAAGTAACGAAGAATCCAAGATATACCCTAGTTCTTTTTTTTCTTTTCTTTTTTTACAAGGAACACGTCAAACACCAACTAAAACACTTTAAACAAAAAGGCCTTTTGCCTAGAAGTAATAAGGAAAAGGATTACTTGCCAAGCACTTTTAGTTTCCAAGGCTTCTTCTTACAATTAAGAAATCATTAAAGGGCATTACAATATGACGATGTCTTCAATCTCTACATATCATATAACATAAAGCCAAGATTCTTTTAGTACTCTGGTGACACTTTCTATAACTGAGTATACGTGAATAAATTTTATTAAACTGCTAAAGATCCATCATTGAAATCTATAACATCTCTTTACCAAAAAGTGAAACCATGGATGGATCATACGATATAAGAAAAAACCATGAAGCCATAGTTGCATAAAACAGGTATTTTCCATTCAATTTTCTGAGTTCTACTTCTCAGGATTCAAAACATGCATCCATCCCCTCACTAAATGAGCGTCTTTACCATATGATTTGGATGACAATCCCCTCACCCACCAACGAACTCTTTTGTTTGTCAAACTCCACGCTCATGTTGTCCTAAAAATTATCAATTTCATTAATATTTGTTAAGAATTTTATATAAAATTCTTGATTTAAAAAAAAAAAAAAACTCATCTAACAGCTAAGATTATTCTTTAGTTTAATATGATAAGAGAATCTAATAAGAGTTTTTACCCTTCTGTTTGGGCTGAGGCCCCACCCAATACAAAAAAAAAAAAAAAAAAAAAAAAAAAGACACGAGGTTACACACTTTTGATGGATATTTCTAGACAAAGTGGGCCAAATTTGACTTGAGTTGAGCAATCCTAACTTCCCAAAAAATATTCCATTGCAGGCGTGGGACGTTCAAGAAACATAAGCAAACTACGGTTTATAAAAGGCCACGTGGGTTTTCAACTTCTTAAATTATCAACCAATCATAAAATTCTCACCTCACGGCCCAGAAACAAAAAAAGATAAAAATAAAAACCAAGCTCCTTCCTGGATCTCCCCATTCGTTTGCTTTCATTAGGGTTACAACTTAACAGGGGAAAGCTAGGCGGAGGAAACTAACGGAAAACGAAGAAACACACCGCTCAACAAACCTTCAAAACGAAGTCGTGTGAAAAAGTACATCCAAAATTTGAGTTTCCCCTAGGGAGACTGCCATGAACACGAGCAAAATTAGGAATTATTAGGAGGTGTTTCCAGCACCCATAGTGACTTCAGACACGCTGCATCATTCTAATAATTAACAACAAAGCTACTTCAAACATATTTACTAACAAAGATAGTCTAACCAAACAGAAAACGCTCGAGTTGCGAACGAAAATTCACTTTATTGCAGATAAGCCAAAGGCACAACCTCGCTGTTTGGAGCAACTCTATAGCAACTCTATCTGGGCTGATGTTCTGAAATTGGTCGTGCTAATTTGTAAAGCAAAAGCAGACCCTGTTAAGAGAAGCAGCAGCATGGACAGATTAAGAATTGGAATAAGAAACTGTCGGCAACAGAAATGAACATTAAACATGACAAAGCAAGTACCAATTTCTGCATTTTCTCAATCCCAACCAAATGGCACATGCTAGTTAAATGAATATGGCAGATAAAAACATCTAGTAGAATCATTAATCAAAACAATGATTCAATAAACTGAAAAACCTTGCTCACTCCAACAGAGTTGCCAAAAAAGAGAAAAATGTAGCAAGAACCACAAAGGACAAGGGGTCAGCCTATGATTGATATTTGAAACTTCAAAGCAACTAGTAGTTGCAGTTCTCATGTATTTGGAGATCAATCCAATTGCAAGTTCTTAATGCGTATAAACGGTCGAGGGAAGAAAATAAAAATTTGATTAAGCTGAATATTTGCTGGAATGCTAGCTATCAAAAATTAACTCAGAAAAGGTCGATGCTTACCACTTTCATTTTCTAAACTCCTATTAAGATATTCTACAAGACGGATCCTTTTAAGATTAATAATTCTCTAAAGGTCATCACCCCCAAATGTGAAAAAAAAAAAAAAAAAAAAAAAAAAAAAGCTATGAATAGAAAAATTCTAACAAACTTCATCAATTAAATCTAATTTCTAATTAGCGACAACTCCTGTTCACCAAACATGTACAAGTTAAGCCTGCAGGTGCTAATTAGAATACATAAACCCTTCCATAAATCATCTAGTTGTCTCTTTAGTGTGCTACATCACCAAACCTTATCCTACCATTGTTTTAACAACAAGCATGCATGCGCAGAGCAAGATGCACATACCAAAGTAAACAAGAAAGAACACTTATATGCAACTAGGTAGATGAAAATTCAGGTCCAAGTTGTTTCAAAAGATTTCCATTTTAAAACCTTGCATCAATATTTTGCACCATAAAGAACTAGCCGAAGCTTTTTAACTTCAATTCTAACGGAGAATATGACAATGATACACTTCCTAACATACTATTACCATCATGCATTATGGCATAACCAAGTATACAGACAGCTAATATCACAAACAACTAAAAAGCAAGATATGAAAGACTCAGAAGTTGAACAGCCTCCTAGGTTGCAGCTAATATACAGATTCAGCTCACCAAAGCTCAAACAAAACAACAGTTAAGCTTAATAATAAACACAAAAGCTACCGCGCAAGCAATAAACACAAAACAACGATTGAACCACTACATTAAAAGGTGGGAAGAAATCTTATTATTTGAGGCAAGTATAGGTCAAACATTGAAAGAACAAACCAAAATATCAGAAGAAGCTAAATTATATAAGGCTTCAAAGCCCAATATTTGAAAAGTTAATGATTTGAAAATAACAAACCAAAATATCAGAAGAAGCTAAATTATATAAGTTAAGAAAACCATAATCAACCAAAATCAAAGATAACAATCACTCAATTACATACTAGATTTCACGCTTGAAAAAACATCTAAATTTACATGGATTTTAAGTTGTGCCATTCACTGTGGTGTGTTATCATAAATTGCTGCGCTGCTACTTGTCTACCTACAATCACAATCATCTCTAATAAATAGCATCCCAGTTTTACCATCTACCTCCCAATACTACAAGTCTCAGTAGCCATTATTTCGAGAAAAGTTCAGCCAGTAAACCCCACTAAATGGATACGATTGCTTCTCCCACAAATGCTCAATGTGAATTGTGCAGCGAGGACACCAAATTTAAGCAGAAATTTATCATGCAACGCACCTACATCTCTCTATCTTGCCACACTCCTATCCATGACCCTTGCCAACCAAGGCAAAAATCCTTACATTTTGAACTGATGCTGCCTAACTAGACACCACCAAAAAGCAGAAATAACAATGCAATAAATCTCAGCACAAAAAGCTTGCTAGGTCCTAATTAAAACACATTAGTCCACCTTCCCGCAAAACCATAAATCTAGGTTCTCTACAGTGACCTCCTTGCTACCTTTATTTATTTTTTTTTTTAAAGCATCCAAACGTGCATCAAGAATCCAATATAATACATCAAATAGTGATTATATGCATCCTGAGCATGTGAAACTCCAGGTCCAAGTTGCATTACATAACTTCCACAAGAGCATATTACATCTTTCTGTCACACAGTAATGAAGCATCCAATGCTTAGATATTATTACAAATCATAGAATACAACAACCATGAATTTCCTGACATCATATGAGCATCATGTCTTTAGTATCCCAAGTCCTAAATCCCGACCTGACCATAACTGGGTCAGGAAGACTCATAATTTCTCAAGCACCGAAAATATCATGGCAGACTTCTGGATAGTAATATCCCTTAATCTCATTGGTATTTAGCTAATTCAAATTCAGTGATCCAGTTCATCAAGGAACTGTAAGTTAAAACCAACATGTTATCGAAATCAAAACCTTTTAAATTTATGAACAACAAATTCCAAAAGTACTAAGCTACTAATAAAACAATGAATCAACAATTCTCACCAGCAAAGAAACACCGTACCCAATAAGTCATTTTTATATTGACACAATTAAATCTCAAATTCAAATAAAAGAAAGCGCATCCACAAGCCAATTCAATTCACCAATTAACTGGCAAAGAGAGATCAAAAAACGACCAGAAACATTAACTGAAAAAACTTGCATTAAAATTATCCAAATTTCAAAAGACAATCAATCAGTCGGTCGGTCAAAAAGCCTTTTTATCTGACTACGCATTATTATCAACAACTCCAACAAAACCCACGAACGTTTCGTTAAAAACAACCATACCCAGATCTCCAATTTCAGTCAGAATCAGCAGAACCAGAGAGGTCCAACTTCTCTATCTCGAGTCGTTCAAGTGCTTTCTGATGAGCCCAAGTTTCAATGGTGAGATCAGGCTTAGCATTGAGACCAACACCAAGGATCACAATCGTGAAGAAGCTAGTGATGTAGCAAGGCAACTCCCAATCTTCCCATTTACGAGACTGTCCAGGCGGTGGTGGAGTACGATTGAATAAATAACCTTTGGGTCGTTCCTCGTGTCCCGGCGATGTCCATCTGCTGGGACCAGCTGATGCGCCGCCGCGGGTTCTCAGGGCAGATGAGATACGGTGGCGGAGCATGGAGGATGCCGTTGTGAAGTTCATGGTTTCTGGCTGTTTGGGTTTTTTGAGAGAGGAACGTGAAGAAATTCCACAGAAGAGAGTGAGGTTAAAGCGAGAAGTCTGTTTTGAAGGTATTTTGGGAATGAAGCAAAACAGCGTCGTGTTCTCGTCTAATTGTTTGTTTGTTTTTTTTTTTTTTTGGAATGAATAAGCATTTTAATTTAATTAGACAACTATAAAATGAAGGTATTTTGGGACCGAAGCAAAACAGCGTCATGTTCTCGTCTAATTGTTTGTTTGTTGTTGTTTTTTTTTTTTTTTTTTTGAATGAATAAACATTTTAATTTAATTAGACAACTATAAAATGAAAATTATTATTAAAAAATAATTATGTCAACATCTCTATGCTTATTTTTAAATTTCACAGCTTTTCTATTTTTTTCTCTTTCAAGTTTTTTTCCTTCATATTATTCCTTATCGATACATAAAAAAAATAATCGGATCAAATAAGAATAGCATGACATAAAGTAATGTCTATCCAAGAGGATATGTCATCGAACGTCAAGGATGGAGTCTTTTAACACCTAGGAGCATCTCGGATGTACAATGAGAACCTATTCCGTAACCTATAACTTGAGAGACTAGCAAACCCAATCACTAAAAAGACTTGATGAACTCTCGTTGAATGAAAATACATTCCAAACACCCTTTTTATTATATTTTTGCAGCATTATTGGCACCATTAAATCTTTTATGAATCATATTATGAGCACAAATCATCTAATTTGACATCGAGAAAATGTTTACATCAAGAGAACAGATTATCCTATTATTTTTATCATCCCTTATCAAGGTATTGCCTATGACATCGGAAAAATGTCTACATCAAGAGAATAGATCATCTTACTATTTTTATCATCCAGACTTACCAAGGTCTTGCCTATATAAGGAACCTAACTATAAAAAATTTTAGGTTCCTAACTCTAGACAATTCTCTTTATATTAAGAAAGTCACATTGTTCATCTTCTCTTTAAAGCATTTACAAAGCACCTTTTTATGCCACTAATCGAGGCCATTTTCTTCCTCTTCAATCACTAACAAGATCATTAAAAAGTCCCTCGATTCACTAGAGAGACCTTTTTTACGGTATCCATATAGAAGAGAGCAAAGAATGCAATTAATTTTCATCATCCATCCTCAACCATAGATTGACACATCATTATCATTTTTTAATGAGTTTGGGGAACTCATCGGTAGTGTCGTCTATTGGAAACTAAACAAAAAATCGGTTTCTCATACTTCCATACGATCTTCGACATCAAGTATGGTTGAACAACAAAAAACTCCGGGTCACATGACCCTCATGATTTCACCAATCCTCATGCTCCATTTGCGGATATATTATTGTTACAACATAGTATCCAAAGACACCTACTGCTTTCTAACATGATGAAACATACCCTAAAAAGCTTTAGAACGGGAGTAACTTTATAAAGTTCGCACAACTAGTCAAAGACAAGTAAAGACAACCCATCTATTGAGATGAAGTTAGTTGATACTCAAATTATATTGTTTGAACACAACCCTTATAAAGCCAAAAAGAAAAAAAAGTATATCCAAAAGTTACCATACATAGAAGCATGAATATCATGATTCTTATCCTTGTATCCAAAAGGTTGGACATTGACCCTATCATTGGCAACTTACCTCATATCCGGGACCTAATTGGTCATTTTATGTTCTCAACCTATCAAAACATACTTTGCTAGGAAAGATGTCATTAAAGGTGCCTTGGGCTAATCTAACCACCCCAAGAGGATTTTTTAGACCCCAACACTTTCGAAGGCCACGAGTTTACTATTGAAAAAGGCCTTCAAACTAAACCTAACCCTATCCGTGTTGGTTATGTTCTACGCTAGCGATACACAATGGAAAGATAAGAATTACTTAGATAAAAAAACCTTCTATGGATGAGAAAATCAAAAAGGTTAAAAAATTAGTCTTGTAACTCAAATACTAAATATTCTAAATACTCTTTATTGAAAAACACATAAGTAGAAAAAGATGGGAAATAGAAAGAAAAAGCTGAGATGAGAAAGAATATTCTTGATTTAGATAGTCCTTTAAAACCTAGATCCTAATGTATCCTCAAATTTTTCGTATCTTAACATGTGCTTCATGTAAAGAAAGAAGTGACATGGTTGGTGACAAATGCTTTTTAAATTTTGAAGTAACAAAACCTATTGGCTTTCCTTCACTCTCCCATGCACCAAACTTTTGAGCTCCTCCAAGACAACACAATTCCCAATAATAAAATCAATCATAACCTTACTACCAAACCAATCGAGGATCAAATATGAACAACGAATCCTAGAACCAAGATTAAGCAAGCCATTGCCATTATAAATGCCAAAACTTGTGAGGGCAACTAATACACTAAGAAAGAGAAGTAGGACAAAACAAAGGCAATCCGGAATAAAGCAAGGCCCATCTAAGGGAAGACATCACCAAGCATCAAGGATGGAACCTCTTCGTGCTTGAGAGCATCCTAATTGTATCATAAGACCCATCCCCTGTCTTGTAACTCGTGGGATAGGCTAGCACAATCACCAAACAAACCCCGGGAGCTCTCGTTAAATGAAAGCACATTCCAACCATCCTTTTTTTTTATATATCAGCACCTTTTACATCATTATCGGCATCCACCGGATCTTTTATGAATAACATCATGAGCACAAATCACCTTACTTTTCATATCAACAACTTTTGCGTCATTATTATCGTTGCTAAATCTCCTATAAATTACATCTAAATTACATCTTGAGCACAAATCATTCCACTTGATATCGGAGAATGTCTACATCAAGATAATAAATCACCCTATCTTTTTTATCATGTAGCCTATCAAGGTTTTACCTATTTAAGGATCCTAGACATTGAGAATTTCAAATTTCCAACTCTAGACAATTCTCTCTGTATTAAGAAAGCTCCACTATTTATATTTTTTTGTAAAGCACACTTTCCTCTTCTTTGAGACTAAGTAGATTGTTGAAGGGTTTCTCAATTCCCTTGAGATTTGTTTTGCGGATACCCAATATAAAAGAGAATAATGAACATAATTAATCTCTACCGTACATCTTCAATTATAAAATGACACATTATTATCATTTTTCAAACAAATTTTCAGAACTCGTCACTTATCATGGCTCAATAATGAATCAAACTTGAAGATGTAAGGGAAAATAATGAGAATATTATGGGAAGGAAATAAAACGAAAACGAAAAAGAAGTGAAAGTGTAACTTTCCCACTATATAAGTTTCTATTATTTGGCTAAGTAGGCGAAAAGAAAAGAAGTGAAATGAACAAATAATGTTTTTACCATAATGTCGTAATTTGTAGTTGATTTTTTAAGGGTATTATTAGAAAAATGTTCAGTAAACTATACATTTCTCCAATTCGGAGGAAATTTTTTATAATATAAAAGAAAAATTTTGAAATTTAATTTCCTTTTCTCTTCATTTCCCTTCTATTCATTTTCTCATTTTAAACTTATCTTCAACTTGTCTTATTTTTCTTTCACTTCTATCCGTTCATGTTTCGTACATGCTTTTAGGGTTCTTTTCATTAAAAATAAGTGACCACTTCCAATGGCAAGAGAAAACATGCATTTTTTTTTTATCTTACGAATTCTTTATCTTGTAACTATTTAATTTGATTCTATCTTGTCTAGCCACAATTATAATTTTTCGAAACATAAAGTGCTTGATAAGTTGATTCAAACACAATAAGCTCTTGTCGATTGAAATCACCTCGTAGAGTAATATTTGTTAGCCTCCAGATTGGATTGTTTCATTCGTCAAATAAATAAATAAGAAAAATGGAGGACGGCTATTTTGATCAAGCTATTTGGTTGTCATTAATGATTGAAATCTCATGGCTAACGGCAAGAAGGAACTTAAGGAAGAGAGAGAGAGAGAGAGAGAGAGAGAGAGGAACAAGTTTGAAAGGCCAAGTTAATTAAATGGTTAGTTCATTGTATGCATATTAGTTACATTGAAATACAGAAAGATTTGGAGGTGTGCTTCACTGCTAAGTCAGATAAGTAGGATCCAAATGATATGTAAAATGAATGCACGAGTTAGATTATTTGTTCACTAAGAAGTACATGCTCAAAGCAAAAAGCACATAGAAGTTTCTATGGTGAAAGCGTTCTTCTGCACATGAACATACTGCCATCCTCTCTCATCTATTCTGGATAAGAACCGTCCATTCTCTAATCTAAAACATGGTTATGAGCGACAGCTATAAACAGGGATTCTTTATCTTCATATTTTTATGTCAGACGTTAAATTCTTGAAGCTTGTCGAATCCTTTATATCTGAAGTTCTACAGCGGCTGAAAGCCATCTCTGAACAGGAAGGAGAATAGCTGTGATTGCGAAGCAAGCCATTTTGCATCCGGTTACCCTGAAGCTTCACAATCAGTCCATCTCACTGTAACAGATCTTTTTGAGTTGGTAAACAACTGCAAGAGTTCTAGGGAATAGGGAGGTTGTTTTTTTAGTAAGGCTGTGTATCCATAAACTATACCTCAGTCCTGTTCTCCTACCAGAAATTATTTCTGAATAACCTTCTCACATTCTAAAGAAGTAGAACCAGCATATATCCTATCAAAAATCGTCAAAACTCACCAATAGTCACCACATGAACAAATTCCCCCAACAATGTGGTGGAACCGGTTTTTATCCCTTATAGACACTTGTCTTCCATGAATCTTAGATACAAATTTGGCAAAATTGTGGCAATCAACACAAATCCGGAGGTTTTTTATTACGCGAAGTGGGACTCCCTCAGAAGAAGCGATTAGTCCAAAAGCCAAAGCCAGCTTCTCACTATGGCCTAGAAGTATTTTCTCCTTTTGCTCCTCATCCACATCATATAAAACGCAACTCTGGTCAGGAACATAGCCAGCTTCCTTGAATTTCACCAACAATTCCCTTACTTCCGAATGTACCTCTTCCCTCCTTGGATGGGAACGATCGCTTGCGTAAAAGGTATGGAGGGTTTGGTCAAGTTCAATCCAGCTTCTTCCAGGCTCCTTTATCACAGCCTTCTCCATCATCAATTCCCTTACGTTTCTCACATCTTCCCATCTCCCTGTAGAAGCATACAAATTTGAAAGAATGACATAGTTCCCAGCATTTTCAGGCTCTATTTCTACAAGCCGGCGGCCTACGAATTCACCAATGTTAGTATTTGAATGAACTCTACAAGCACCTAAAAGTGAACCCCAAATAGCAGCGGTAGGTTCAAAAGGCATCTTTTTGATCAATGCAAAAGCCTCTTCTACTCGGCCAGCACGCCCAAGCAAGTCAACAACACACCCATAATGCTCAATCCCTACTTCAACCCCATCACCCCCATTCATCATCTCGTCAAAGATTTCCAGCCCTTTATCTTCCAATCCTCCATGGCTGCAGCCAGATAGAACAGCCAGAAAAGTGACACTGTCCGGTTTGACTTTATTTTCTTCTCTCATTAATTTGAAGAGTTCAACCACCACTTTTCCCTTACCATGCTTGCTATACCCCACAAGTATTGCGTTCCATGAAATAACAGTTCTCTCAGGCATGTTATTAAAGATCTTTCTTGCGTAATTAAGGTTTCCACATTTTGAGTACATATCAATCAGAGAATTCTGGAGAACTAAATAAAAGGGCAATTCACATCTAAGCACATGGGTGTGAACTTGTTTGCCATGATCCAATGCTGCAAGTCCAGAGAGTGCAGTTAACACACTGGCGTAGGTAACATAATTTGAACTCATTCCTTCCCTTTGCAACCTGCGGAATAGTTCCAATGCCTCTTCATCAAGACCTAATTGAGCATAGCCTGAGACTATCGCCGTACAGGAGACAACATCTCTTTCAGGCAGGCATTCAAAAACTCCTCTAGCTTCATAGATTCTACCAGCCTTGGCATACATATCAAGAAGTGAGCTCCCAACAAACATATGGCATTCATAGTTTCTCTTGACTATGAGAGAATGAATTTGCCTCCCCAGCTCAAACCCTGAAACACCTGTACAAGAAGTAAGCACACTGGCGAAAGTGAACTCATTTGGTTCCGTATCTGCACAAATTGCAAATTGGTATCAATAAAACGTAATTAAGCACTTGAGAAAAAAGAACTAAATTCACTCTAATGGACAGCACTAGTTTGCAAGTGTCATTTACATAGACCACAAATTGCAATTAAACACACTTACCCTACTCCTATATATATCAAAACGTTTCACTATGGGCTTATATAGTTTTAAGAGGTTATTCTTTATGCATCATGGAAATTTAACTTTTGATCTTGTAAATGCATAAGATCACTTCTATCATTATAACTCAAATTAGGAATAATATATTTGTATCTTCTCCAACACATCGGGCCAAGAACGTCACCATAATCAACCCATACACCTAATACCCTTAAAGAAAGTTGTGCTAAAGAACACAATAGTGATCAATAAAAGCTTAATCAATACTAAACTAAGTACAATTTATGCAATTTCCCCAAAACATATCACTTGTTACTAACTATAACTTCATAAAAAACACCAATAAAAAAAAATACCTGATCTTAACATCTGTACAAAAAGATGCAACGCATCATGTGCAAAACCTCTCTGAGAATAACCTGAAATCATTGCAGTCCAAGAAACAACATTCCTCTCACGCATTTCGTCAAACACGTGTCTTGCATAACTCAAACAATCACACTTTGCGTACAAAACAATAAGCCTGGTACTTAAATACACAGGTGGTAAATAACATGTTTTGATCATGTGGGCATGTACCCTTTGGCCTTCCATAATAGCCCTTTTATTAACACACTCGTTTAGTAGTATATTGTAGCCATCAAACTTAATTTCAGGACCTTGAATTGCCATTTCTAATAATGCCTGTTGTAGTTGACCTTTGGTGCACAGCGTTTTTAAAGTTGGTTTAGTTGGCAGGAGAGAAGAGAGAGTCGTTAGTTGGCGGATAAATTGGTTAAAGATTGAAGCGTTTGCATGTTTAGGATAGTGGAGAAACAAGTCGATGTAGTGGAGCAATTTCATGTCCCAATTGATCCTATCGGTGCTGACTAGAAAGGTGCAGGTTTTGGAACAGTTAAGCACTTACGTTAAGGTCTTCTTTGTTTGGACATCTTATGTTCAAGGTTCAAATCATGAAGAGCAGCAGCGAAGCAAAACGGTGCTGCTTGAATTTTGAAAGGGTAAGAGGCGTCCAGAAGTGAGTCAGTCCCTGAACAAGTTTTTTGGTACAATTAGTCCTTGAAATAATTTTGATATTTAACCACATCCTTCCGTTAAGTAAAACTAAGGTTGCCATCTAATTAAGGTAAAGTCACTTGATATCATACCAAATGTCACCGTAAATCTCCCTCCCATCATCAATGGCCTCTCAAAAAAAAAAAAAAAGACCTGTTCTTGTTCTTCACTTCAGAAGGGGAAAATCTATCTAAATGCTCATTTGAAGGTCAAGGGGGCACCAAACCATGGTGTGGAGGTTCGAATCCCTCCTCACCACAACCGGTCAATAAACAAAAAGAAGAAATTCACAACTTTCCTGGATAAACGAACTTCAGACAATGCAGCACCTATGGCATGCTCAGCCTCCATATGAATCCAAAGGAAAACTTATCACTTGTATCAGTGGTTAAAGATTGAATACAAGGCATCCTTTATTACAAATTACAAATCATTTTTTCTAAAAAACGAATCTTCAAATGATCACCTGCTCCCCAGATGTAGAAAAAATTGGAACTTAACTCCATTGTTTCAATCCAAGAATGACATCGCGTGACGATCCTTCTCATGGTTTCCTAGCTATTTCATTTGTTTATACAAACCAGAACGGAAATTGAGTAGAGAAATGTTATTTACTGTCCAAGGCCTGAAATCCAAAGGATTATCCCACAGCTCATTGTGATAATTAGACCATCTCATATTTACATTCTCAACCTCGAACCCCTCTATATGTTCCATGATGATCCCAGCTGCACTGTGGTTTACAAGACCCTGGCATCCAGGTCTGTAGTCTACTAACCCACCTGGATAATTTGTCCATCTTCTGTAATTCAGATTCATGTTAATGAATTTCAGATTGCTCAGTAGGCCACCTTTAGAGCCTGACAAGAATACACCATTTTCAGAATTCGCTGTTATGTTGATGAATTGTAGGTTAGATATAGAGCCCTCTTTCGAACTTGAGTCTCGCGGACAGGTTGTCACATAAATAGGCTCTGCTCTCCCCCACCAAGATGGGTCATAGTATCTTGTGCTAATATTTATGTTTGAGAAGGTGATGTCACTTACATTTCCTGCAAAAGTCGAATAAATTAGTAATCCTATAAGAATGAATGATAATCCAACAATGTTTCTCTTATGTTACTTAAAAATCATCTTGACAGACAGTATTTGCAGTTGAGCTTTCATCTGTCTAACAGAACACATCATTGAAACTCATAGTTTAGGTGGGCATCAAATGTTGGGACTATCACTTTCAACTAGGCACAGCTTACTTGAGAGATGGCAGGGATTAATTCAAATTATAAATGCTGGGGCCGAATTCCTTAGACAACAATGTTTCACCATCAAAGGATCAGGTTAGAATCAGTATTGTTAATTGAATACAGGTCCCAGTTAGAGCCAAAACATAAGTAATGTCTCAGTCCATTTCATTCACAACTATGACAAAGAATTTGGTAGACATGATCGAACAGAAAGATGTCATCCACTCCTTATAGCATACCTAACAAACCAATCAAAAATCTAAACTACCAAGTACTCAATATAATTGCAGACTGCAGTTCTATAATCAGACCCGCCAAAGATTAGCGGATCAACTTATGGTTGCTCATATATAGGCTATAAACTACCAAGTACTCAATATATAATTGCAGGTCTATTATCAGACCCGCCAAAGATTAGCAGATCAACTTATGGTTTCTCAATATATCCAATCAGCATAATTTTTTCATTCCTTGAGAAACAAATTTTCTCAAATTAATTGATCAACTTTTAAAAGCCCTGGTGCCGAAAGGATATTCCATACTTGCATCCTTACAAGAATGGAAATCTTTGTATAAGCATGTCTATTTTTCTTGAAAAGAACTTTAATCTAACAAACCAGAGAAAGCATTTTCCTTACAGAAAATGGATCGTTAATCTGTTTCGTTTATCCAAACACCAGTAGACTCTTTGCTGTGTTCCACCATTTACCATTTTTGTATATAAAGAATTTATGTACGATAGTCGTTTATATCAGAAATAGAAGCAAGAATGAATTACCTCCATCACGTATCTGCAGTCCTAGTCCCCTGTGAGAATCTACAATAGTGATATTGTCAAACACCAGACCCTTGAACTCGAACCAACTAGCACTGCCAAGCTTGATTGCTGAAGATTTTGTTCGAATCCAACAGTCGGTTGTGGTCAAGTTATAAAGCGGAGCAGTGTACGTCTTTGGACAAATAGCATCATCTCCGGTATCAATATGACATCTTGTAATAAGCGTATTATTTGAATCCTCTATATCTATCCCATCATTATTAGGTGAATTAAAGTCACCATATATGGAAACGTCAAAAATGGATGTATTAAGGCACCCTACTATGTGCAAACTGCAATAACGAAAGCATTACTCAGATTATTCAACAGAAAAGACTTGAAAAATAATAGTCAACAGGTAATCAAGTAAAGATATGCAATTCAACTACTTTGCTTAATATATAGACTTCCATGTAAATAAGCTAAACAGCTTTACTGGTTAATAGGTAACTCGGAAACTTGGTCGAGCTGCACTGCCAGTAGCTAAAACACTTACACAGGCTGCATTTAAATCTGACAAGCCTGAACTCTCCAACTTTAACGTTAGTATTTTTAGATAAACATTGATTATGTGAGGCATGCAAAATGACCTGCGCTTGCTAGCCAACTTCTAGATCAACAACATTAAACATGAACGCACGCATGCACACACTCGCACAATTTATGCAAATGTGGAACAATTGATTCCTCGAGTGCACATAAAATAGGACGGGGAACATGATGTGGTTCATGTGAAGGTATTATTTGAACTAAGAGTCAAAACTACTATTTGACCAACAAAATCTTTTCAGAAACTACTCAGTAATTGCATATTAAATCACTAATTGTAATTAATTAATAACTCTCAAACTTAAGTTAATCCCACTTTAATGAGATGTTTTTTCAAAAAATATTTTCTTTTTTCGGCAGGAACCCCTCCTTAGTCAATTGAACCATTTGTATGTTTAAGGTACCAAAGTAGACATTTCCACCATGGAGTAGGATGTTCAATTATTACATAGTGCTACAAAAAAAAAAAAAAAAAAAAGAAGAAGAAGAAGAAAGAGAAAAAAATTAAATAAATAGATAAACGACAAGGCAACATCTTGCTAAAGAGACAGGTAACAATCCCATTGGCCCAACCCTTGCTTTTATCAGCAAGTAGGCCCTGGGACCCACCATTCTCTCTCTAGGATAAGTTCTTTCTGAAAAAAAAAAACACCTCAAAGAAAGAAAACTAAAGCGAATGGTACTCGCTGACGTATAGAAGTAAACCAGCTCGCTCTACATTTTTTTAAAAAAAAGACCGTCGAGTTAACATACCACGTGTCTTTTTATTTTAGCGAGTAGTAAGAGCGAGTCTCCTCTCCAACCCAATTCAACAAGATAAAGCGTCAAAAAGCATGTATTACCCAATACGCATCTGACACATCTAACGCGACGTTTTACTTATAAAATCCCTATCATTTATTTTTAGTCCTCAAACCGTGTGCAATTTCAACCAACTCTATCCATTCAATTCAACTTGCGGAAAAGCCTAATCAAATATAATATCACACAAACAAATTTATTAAAAAAAGCCTCTGGGATGAATAGTTGAATCAATATATATTACGAGAAATTTTATTTTATATATATATATTAAATTTAAAAATGTATTTTATGTTAGATAAGAGCATCCAAAATTAAATAAAATACAAGTAAACAAAATAACCGGATGTTAAAAAGTGGTAAAAACAAACCAAAAATAGCAGCAAATAAAAGAAAAGAAAAGGATGAAGGAAGTTACCACCAATAAGCAGGTTCGCTTAACCTGACATTCCAAACCTTGACGTTTGTACACCCAATGAAACCAACCAGTCTTGGCCTGCACTCATCTCCCAAGCAAGCTCCAGTAGAATTCCAACTCACCATCACATTCTTTCTTACATTAAACCTCTTCACAAACTTCAATCCTTGACCATCGACAACCCCACCTCCAGTTATCCCTACATCACTCACCTTCTCCGCTAAAACAACATACCATCTATTAAACTCTTTTGGATAGTCCTCCAATTTTGTGCCACCTAACAAGGTTGCTCCTTCTTGGATGTTTAGAACGACGTTGGACTTTAAGTGGATGGTTGCTGTTAGGTAGGTCCCAGGTGGGAAGGTGACGTGGCATGTTTTGGTTGGTGGGGTGGAGGGGCAGGAGCTGATTGCTGATTGGATTGCTTGTGTGTCGTAGTGAATGCCGTCTCCGGTGGCGCCGAAGTCGGTGACGAGGATGGTGGTGGTAGGAGGGAGAGGGAGTTGGATTGTGGTGGGGGTTGGTGACTTTGAGGGGCGTGATTGGTGGAGAGGGAAGATGATTAAGAGAGTGATTAATCTGAGAAGTAGAGTCGTCATTGAAGATTTGAAGGAGATTTGGGATCTTTTGTTATTTTCTTTAGTTTTGATTGTCAACTCTATCTAATTGTTTTGGTCTTTAAACGCTCTACAAGGCTATAGCCTATAAGCAGCTTCCCATTTCAACAAATAAAGAATTTTTTAAAAAATGCTCTATGAGCAGCTTCTGTTCATTTTATAGTAGTCTTTTTACGCTTATCCGGGCCCATTGAAGAAAGAATTAAAAAAAAAAAAAATAAGTTTTTCAGGGGATAAAAATAATTATCAGCATCAGCTGCGTTTTGATGTAGAACTCGTTTATTTTATATCATGAACTGCAGTTTTTGCATTTTTAATGAAAACAATTAGCATCCTCGTTGACAGAGTGATATAGCACCCTTGTGCTTCTTGTAACCTGATAATAAAGAAGAGCTCGTTAAGAAGAAGCTAGAAAAGGGAGAATTAGGTTGGGGGGCATGTCATGTTTTCAATATGATATAGTAAAGATCATCACAACACAAAATCTAACAAAAAGAAGGCGGCTTTCATAATAGTTCAGAGATCGATCATTGTTCGTTTCTACAATATGAATCCTCAATCATCTCAAGGATGAAGTTTTAGATTGAATGACTCTCAAAGGAGTTAGTATAAATATATGTAGTAAATCATATATAGATATATAACTATTTAAGAATTACAAGCCGAAATTTCTCATCTCCAGGGAGAGAATTCTGGATTTCCAACTGACTGGTAAACTGAAGACATGGAAAACCAGATTAATGTTTGAGGCCTCCCCTCTACTTCCTTCCTGCTAACTGCTAATAGTTGATATATACAGTACTAGCTACTGGTCGAGCTTCATTCTGCCTTCATAGCTCCATTTTCAATTGATTGGAGTGCAGAGACGCTGCATCACAGTGACAATTGCAGCTAGTCAAGTTTCAATCTATCCATGTTTGAAACAAAATGGAGTAACCTAATAGCTTTTGCATCTTATAAAGAACTGAAAAATGTTAATGATAATAGACACCAGATTCCACAGTCCAAGTTTAACAATAAACAGAACAGGGATGTCGAAGGAGAGGAGAGCAAAACCGGAAGTCAGCAACCAAATTCCCTTGCCAATTTAACATCTAAACATAACATGCTCTTTTATTTCATGTATACTTCAAATCTTAATAAATTAATATCTTAAAAAATTGGAAAAGCTACTTCTCACTTGAATTTCTACATCTTTTGTTGAATACTTCTAAATGGAGTTTTTCAAATCGAGGAATCATTGTGTGTTCAAAATTCCTTTTTCCATCCACAAGATAGGAAAAGGATGTGAATAGATAATGAGTTGATGTTAGTTATTTTATCACTGACAAAATGTAGAAGGAATCAACTAACATGCAATCTACCTGAATTTGCTGAAGAGTCATAACTCAGAAGAGAGTTCTCTGGAGTAATGAAGTTATGGCTGTCTTCTTCTCTTCCCCAAAGTGGCTGGCGAAGCGCATCAACCTGCCATTGCTGTTGGAACTGGTGTCTGTTTCCATTGACTTGGGCTTCTGGCCACATCAGAGGCATTACCATGCTGGAGAAGTTACTGTCAATTAGTGATCCACTCTGCATGTTTAAAAAGTATGATAGAAAGTATTAACAACAGGGATAGATTATAAATGTCAACAGCCAGCAGGAAATTAGCTAATTCATGTACATTGTTTCTTTAAAAACTACTGGAATTTGTGGAGTATGTGAATGATAGTTACCAAGGCATTGGTTTTATCAAGAAAATGAAAAATACGTGCTGAATCGCTGGTATTGCTGAATAATTTAAACTAAGCTTCAGTTCTCATTTAAATTACCAATCATGACACAAAATGTCACAATATTTGGGAACTTTCAGTGATTTCAAATGTACAGCATAACTTAGAGATGCCTTAATCAGCAAACACAACCAAGGCAACATGCACTTTCTTTGGCATTGCATGAATCACAATGTTGAGATACAATTGAAGTGGACCTTAGGGTAATCGCAAAGACCTTTGCTCATTAAGGGGCCTGTAGACCAACCATTCCAGGACAACTGCACAGTTGAAGGTAAAAATTTATGTAAATGGAATGGCCTGGCCCAAATTTGATCCATTGCTTTGCATGTATCAGTGAAGGAAAACTGTCCTTTCAGGGACAGATGGGATTTCACTGCAATGACCGTATTATGATTACAAAAGCTTACTTTTCCCTTTCCACCTGCTTAATAAAGCACCTACAAACTGCTAAACTATAGGCATAACAAGTATTTGCTCGTAGTCTAGAAATCCAATAGCAGTAGAAGCATTTTCAAGGTGGTGAACACCAGAGCATATTTGTGAAGTATATTTAGAAATAGCTCAACCAGTATGCAGCTATACGAGGTCTAAACTTTTGCTGACTTGTGGCTCAACACCCAGGAGGAAAAAGGATCAAACCTTATTTCCTCATGTTTCGCAAATTACAAGAAAAATAGAAAGGTAAAACAATGATACTTACTTCTGCAGCCAATATGCTGTCAAGATTGAAACCAATTCTTGGGTTAACCGCCGCAAGTCTCATTGATAAGAACTGAAACCAAAGAAGCATGCAACCAGAGTAAGAAAATGGCAATAAATTATGGAGAAGGTAAGCTTGCCAACATTTTCTAGAGGCTTTGCACCAATACACAGATAAATGATTAAAAAAAAAATTCAACAAATGTAGGGGTCTGGAATTAGCAGTAAAATTCCTCTACAAGAGGGCATGCATCCAGTGGTATAACGCAACATCTTTGCCACACTATTCAGCACTCAATGTAAAATGGGGAAACCCCATCTCTCTTCAAAGCTGAAATTAGTCATTTTCTATTCCTGTTGAGATTATAGTTTAACACCAGCCCAACCCACCCCTGAACAGTTGACCTAAACATTGCTGTTTGCAAATCCTAACACCCAAAAAAAAAAACCAAAAAGAAAAAAAGAAAAAGAAAAAAGAAAGAAAGAAAGAAGAAACTCTCACCTCCACTTGGCGTTGCAGGGACTGAACATGGTTGATGATTTCATCTAGTACCAATGCTGTACCAGAGATCTGCATAGAAAGATAACTTTCAATAGCCAATCCACATTGTAATTTAAAAGAGGAACCTAGCTGCAATGATCCAGAAGCAGCTAAGGAGAGTTACTCGCAAGTAAATAATTCAGTGTTCAAAAGATCATAGCAAAGAAGACATTAGACCAAGTGAGACAAAAAAACAAAAACAAAAAAATTGCTTACAGAGAACTAATGTGTCAGTTATGGTGATACACTAAATGTTCTTCGTACAAACAAAGGGGTTGGACATCAGTTTTTAGCTTTTCCACTTTAATTTGAAAAGCAACCCTGGTTAAGAAACAATGATCAAATACAAGCATAACAAGGCCAACTAATCAACCTACAGATTAAAAGGCATTGCACATATTTCCCTGGCAGCATTCCATGGGTGTAACCGTCTAGAAATTTCGACTTCAATATTATTAATATTGGCACCATGAATTACAGAAATAATATGGCATCAACATCTAGCAAGAAAGAGACAACTTAAGCAAAAGTGAAGATTGAACACTGATTAGTGCATATGCTCTTATTACAACATAATTGGCACTTGAAGAAATTTTGGTGGAGCCCGGAAGAGCCCATTATAAACTGCTTACGTGCATGTGGACTATAACATGAACTTTTGGATTCAAGGGACAACTCGTGCAGAGCAGGCATACCAGGGGCATGCCTATTTTGGGCTTTTCCTCAGTGAATCCCAGATAGAGTCCAATGCAAATACATAATACATATGGTCCCCAAACTAATTTACAAGAGAGATGCAAAACGGAATCAAAGTAAAGTACATGACAAATATTGACAACTCATTCATGGTGACAATTAAACTTCTGTTACTTTCTGAAACTTCAAAAAATCACTACTAGCTGTCCCAAGAAGCAGGATTATCGCTGATCATTGTAATTTTTACTTAGTCAAATCACTTGATTCAGAAAGGAAGCAAAATACAGGCATGTTTATGAATTGCTAAAAGAAAAAATGAAGAAATTGTGCTATTCTTTGTTTGAACAAATTAGATAAATTTAATTATCAACCATCAAATCATGTCTATTTTGCAGTTAGGCCTAGAAAATTAGGCACAGGAGCTTCTCCCATGGAAGCCTATTGTCATTCTTTTTCATCATCCATCAAAGATGGATACCAAACTTGTAAGATAAGTTGGTACAATGCACCTTTCAAATAGGGACCAAATTTTTTTTATGTGTAAAGAGATGGGACCCAGATCAATTGATCCAACAGCCAGAATATTAACTGTTTTAAGGCACCTCCAGCTAGCATTTCCACACAATAATTTTCTGGTCTATCCCATATGGGCAATACAGTCATTTACCTGAAATTTAAGGTCCATTTGTGAGAAAATAATAACGGGTCATTTTTTTGAAACACAGACACGTCATCTCTACTAAATCACAACAGCACCAGTAATTTCTGAAGTGACAAAGTTAACCTCAAAAAGGACTTATAACAAACTCATCCCTTCAAAGAGAAAAGGGAGAAGAAAAAATAAAAGGAAAAAAATCACAAAAAACAGATGAAATTACAAAAACTGCCACCATGAAACCCCAGAGGACTCTTTTCTTGGTACAAAAGCAAGAACAACTTTTTCTTATGTAAAAAGTTGACAGTGACAAACCCCCCATAAATTAACCTAAATAATCCAAAATACAAAACCCACTTTTCAGGTAATCATAATTAAAACAAATCACAATCAAAAGATGATTAATTAAAAAAACCTAAATCATTTCAAATCATTACCATATCGGACTAACGTACCTTATTGCAGCCTGGGACCAGCTCTTGTAATAACTTCATTCTTTGATTAATTTTCTCCCTCCTCGCCTATAAAAAAATAATAATAATAAAATCAATCATTAATTATCAATTAATCAACTTCTTAACAATAATAATCAAACTACACAAAATTAATTAAATTGAATTAGTTTACTCTTTCTGCTAAGCTATGGCTGTCAGTTGCTTGTCCCCGCCGAGCTCGAACGTGAACGTAAGGCAGCTTCTCTTCTTCTTGTTGAGAACTCTCTTTTTTGTTCTTCTTTGACGCTGCTTTAACCTAATTTCACAGCAATTGACTTCAATTCAACAAAATATTTATTAATTTGCTACTAATTTTGCAATTCCCTGAAAAGCCCTAGTTTTTACCTTCTTCTCTCGTTCCTTTCTCTTCGAAGACGACCTTGCATTTGGCGCCGAATTATCCACGGTTGGATCAGAAACCAACGGCTGGGATGAATCGAGGAAAGACTCCGTCTCCAGCGGCTCACACTTAACGGCTGCAGCTGTCTCGGGATTCTTCGAGCTAGAATTTGACGGAACGGAGCTGGAGTCCGTTGAATTACTACCGCCGTTGAAAAAGGACAATCTGGCGGCTCGTTCGAGGAGGGAAGTGTTGGAAGGAAAAGTCAAATTCGGGTACTGCTTTTGACCCGAATCCGAATGAAGTAACTCCACGGCTTGATTAGCTGGTAATTCAAGTAAAGCAGTGAAAGAACTCTCGTTTTCTGATGGTGGGGTGATTAAATGACGGATATCTTCACCGAATTGGAGGGACTCCAATCCGGTTTCGTCAAGTTCGGGTTCGGATCTAGCTCCGTGTCCGGTTGTTAGATCCATTTAGGAAAAAAAAAAAAAAAAACAGGGACCTTAATTTAATTGAAGAAAGTCAGTTTATAGAGGGATAGAGGGTCAAATGATGGAGCGTTTGGTTTTTCTGCTCTCAGTTGTGTTGTGGTGTGTTTGGTTTCTGAGTATAAAGAGGATTTTTGGTTATTTGAAGCGAGAAGAAAGCAACTTCGGTGTTGTGGGGGTGAGTATTCAAATAAATAGGAATTTCTTTAGGGGAGAAAGTGAGTGTGGATGTTTTGAGAGAGAGAGAGAGAGGGGGGGGTGTGGTGGTGGGGGAAAGGTGGTGTTGATGGGGAGAGTGTACAGTTCTTAACGGCACAGTTCGAGTTTGGTGAAGAAGAAAATAGACATCAGGCTTTGGGACCCACTTGAAATTTACTGCGGGAGTATCAACTGGATGCATGTCTGAAAGTGAAAAGGCCAAAAAGGAGAAGTTGAGAGTGGAGAGAGAGCGTCGAGTGTCAACTATCTTTACGTAAGATGAGTTTAGAACCTCGCTATCCGTAATCGATGTCGGTTAAATTGTTGAATTTATATAAAATAACGAAAAGATTCATTTATTCATTTTGAGTATTTTATTTTTGGTTTTATGATTTGAAGTACATTCGATTCAGTTTTCACGCCTTCACGTTACATTTATCTTTGTGATTCTATGAGATGCAATTAAGTTATCAATTATATATTAAACAATATGAAGAATTCACAATGATTTTACTTCCACCATATATAATCATTAACAATCTGTATTTTAATAGATAATTTCGTATATGTTTAGGTTGAACTTTTGTGTTGCTAGATTATTTATATAAAGCTAGATTATTTTATGATGCTCGTGCATGGTCAACAACTTCAGTTGTTTAGATGTTCAAACATTAAAAAAAAACATGGAGACGTTTTTGTTGAAAAGAAAATTTTCCTTTTTATCAAGGATAGACATAAAGTGTTCAAATATAAATGTTATCCAAATAAATTAATCAACTTAATTTGTCGTTAATGATCTTTTGATGGAAACACAAGGTGGAGCCATTCTTTTTGTAATTTTTTTTTCAAATTAAAAAAAAAAAAAATCATTTTTACTGTTGTCTTTTTAGGTCAACAATTTGCAATCGCCCAGCTTCTAACAATTTTACGGAAACGGTAGTATTTGGTTCCCATGCATGAACTCCAAAATGTAATAATGTCATGCCGAATTACTATTCCCGAATCCAGGCAATAAGGTCATGTAATTGCTGCTCGTCCATGAATCACGTAACGGAAAGTCGTATTAGCAGTCAAAATTATAACACTCACGTCCCTCACTACCGCAAATATCATTTCTTTCAATTCTTAAGCTCCGTTACTCGTAGAGCTACCTTTATTTTGAATTCAAGAGAAACAAAAGGCTAGAAATTACAAAACGGTGGTTTTTTTTTTTTCAATTTTAAGGATCCTTTCATATTAAGATTTGGTGTATGTCGATTAAATCTCTTTTGAAATAATCAAGTTTTAAAAAAACTATTTATACTTGAAAGTATATATTCCACGTCTCATCTAATTGATGCGAAACAATTTACTTATTACGAAGATTCAGTATTTCAAGAAGCAATGTAAGAAATCTAAATAATAATTTTCATGCATTATGCCAGCATGTTGGGGTAAAGAAAACAAAACTTTTGTATAAAGCGCTCAACTGTGAGATTAAGAGTTTGAATCTAACTTATCATAATTGATAGTTGGTGATATATGCACGGCTTTACATATGATTGTAGTTATTTCATTAAAAAAAAAAAAAAGATTGTAAGTTTCAACCTTGACATAAATACAATAGAGATCTCTTCAAATAAAAAAAAAAAAATACTGAGATATACGTACAATGTTTCGGTCCCAATATAGATATGATAGAGATTCTTTCAAATAATATATATATATATATACTGGAATGTAAGTGTATATAGTGTTCTATGCTGAGGAGTATGAGAGAGTTTACATACCTTTCTCTATTTTTTTTAAAAAAAACATAATGCATTGCAATGATAGTTGTTACCCCTCATATACTACTACGATCATTTAGAGTTTTTTTTTTAAAAAAAAAAAAATTGATTTCAGAGATTCATGAGTCTTTGACGTAAATAATAGATGATAGCAGTTTCTTATTATATAATCATTAAAAAAATTTAAAATTGTTAAGACTTGAATCTTATTTTATTAGAAAACCTAATGGAATAAATAATTGTAAGTTAAGTCTGCTTTAATACAATCATCACGATTTGACTAGATAATCTGACATAAACAACCATCGAGTTGTTGTTTTTTGACATCTAATGTTTGAAAGAAACTTTTATAAAACAAAGTACAATAAAATTAGACAAAAGAAACAAAGAAAAGATAGAACCAGACTTGGGCGAAAGTTACTGTATACGTCCAATTAGGCGGGGGTTGGAAAGAAACCAAGGCCGGACAAAATTTTTATGGTTAAAGAGACAATGTCCTATTCTTGCCTTTATAGGCCACAAAGGGTTAGCGACGTATTTTGGGTTTTTTATTCTTTGTTTTATCACGTTTTTTTAGTCATTTTAGTAGTTTTTATTGTAGGATAAACTAAGTTTTTTATACACCTTACGATACAGATCGAATAAAATATATAAAATTATTTTATTTTAATATCTCGTATTATATTGTATATCTATTAAAATATATTAAATTTTATATTTAATCGATTATTTTTTATATTTTTCATAAATTTTTTATAAAAAAATTATTTAATAGTATAAAGAATGTTAAAACCAATGAATTCTTAGCTAAAATTTTATTTTGTAATGCTTTTTAAACATTTTTTTGCCTTAAAATTTTTTATTAAAAAATCAAAAAAAAAAAAAAGAACCAAGTAACAAAAAAGAGGGACCGAAACAGAACAAAAAAATAGTTTGCAAATTGAAAAAACTATATTTAAAAAAGAGAGATCAAAGTGTAATGTTAGAAAAACTATCATTATAAATGTATTGAAAATATTTAAAACTACAAAAATACTACTCCATAGTGAAAGAAATAGTGATTTTGAGTATGAGTGAATTTCAAACAAGTAAATAAATAGTAAAATCAATAGTTTTACTTTAGTTTTATTAATAATTTTAATTTACCCTTTTGAGGTTTATATATTGTCCCAATTCATCTAATATATTTGATTTGTTTCAATTAAACCCTATATCTTTCTTCTTCTTTTTTCCAATCAACCTCTATTATTGTATTTTTGTTCCAATCAGCCTCCACATCTTTTGCTTTTGTTCCAACTTTCTTCCTTTATGCTTTTTTGCCAAGTGTATAAATTTTAATTTCATCTCTAAAGTTTATAAAACATCTCAATATCATTCAAAAAAATAGAAAAAAAATAAACTAATTAAAATTAACAAAAATAAAAATCAATAGAAATTTTTTTTATTAAAACAAATATGATAAAATTTGAGAGGGTTAGTTTTTTAAGAAATTCTTAAATCCTAACGACTTCAATTCTCACCTAACAATATCAATTCTCGCTTAGCAATATCATCTTTTTCTTTATCAGCATTATATTAAATCAAAATCAAAATTTAAATTTATTTAACTCCTTTTTTTTCATCAAAACCTTTACTTTTCTAATATCTCTTAGCTATCATGATTTCTTATTTCTTTGATGATATTATCAAATAGCACCTTTGATATGTGCAAGTAATCACACTTTAGATGATATCAAAATTTTTCTATGCTCAAACTAAGATTCCATTCATATGCTTTTTCTCAGAATTTTTGTTCAAAATTTTAATAAAAATTTGAATAGAAAATGTAGATATAATATGCTAGTTAGAAAATGTATGAGAGACAATGACACGAGTGGTGATACTTTTTATCATATTATATTTATATTTATTTTATTTTTTATCATCAAATGACTGCTAGATAGTGCTAAAACAAAAATATTCTTGTTAAAAATATATTTATTTAATGATTTTTTCAATTTTGTTTTTGTATTATTATCTTTCGAGTCATATTGAGATATTGCTTAAATTTTAAAGAAAAAATTGAAATATACATAGAGTATAACAAAAAAAATAGAATGTAAAAGGTTGAACTAAAACAAATAAAATTTTTAAGTAAAATTAAGAAAACACGTAAATATCATGAAAGCAAATTGAAATTTACCTTTTATTTTAATATCCTCGTGTAGCCTCTATTGCTTGCAATCATTTGATCCTTTCATCAATTAAAAAGCTCTGTCAAATTCTGCTGTCAAGTACACATGATGATACCACATATCCCTTAAAATTAACACAGTCTTTGATGATATTTTGCAGTAATGGTAGAAATAAAGACCAAATCATTACATAAAGAGCTGACAGGGGGTGAAATTAGGGGAGGAAAAAAAAAGGAATAGTAAGAAGACAAAATAAGAAATAATTGATAATCAAGGGACCAAATGCACAATTAACTACCCTGTATATTATCTGTTCATTCTGTCTCGGGTTTAGAAAAGAAAAAAAAAAAAAGGAAATTACATTGTATCATTGCTCGTGTGTGTAATGCTGTATATTGGTAATTGATTAAAATATAATAAGAGTAATTTACCAATCTTCCGCGACCTAGGTAGTCTGCTTCGACTTCAAACAATTTCCTTCCCAATCTCATATTTTGACTTCGATATATCAAAGTTAAATTTATTATAACTTATACGAAATTATTCAAAAAAATTTTAAGGTTTGATTTCATATATATATATATATATATATATATATGTATGTATGTATGTATTGTTATTGTTATCTTGAGTTTGAATCCTGAGAATATCGTAAGAAAGAAATTTTAATTATGTAATAATTAAATACTACATTTCTAGACGTGAATGATCTAAATTGAGAGAATTGATTTTAATGTGCAAAAATTGTTCCAAAAAATTAGCCCAATGCAAGGAATTCAAAACATTGATTCCCGTTTAAAACATTGAAGAGAATAATCTATTCACTTTTTCATTGTAACTATTT